TTCTTAGAGGTGCTGAAACTAGACCAACTACTGCTCCTTCAAAATATCCAATTGTATTTGTTCATGGAAATTCTGATATTGGAGTTGGTAATGGTGGAACAGTTGGCTGGTAGACTGGATTCACATAACTTATTGAATATTTATAAAATTATGGTGGATACACTAAAGCTGATTTGTATGTAACAACATGGGGTAGATTTTATAATAATAATTTTTAGGACCTGCCAATCCTAATTTGGCTTCATAAAATAGTCATTCTGAGAAATATGTGATGACTACTAGACGTTTCATAGAAGGTGTTCTTGCTTATACAAAAGCTAGTAAAGTTATTGTAATTGGTCATTCAATGGGAGTCACATTAGCTAGAGCAGCTATTATTGGTGGAACTTATTCAGAATCTTTGTTTAGTAAATTTACTGTCGGAGATCCAATTACTAATTCTATTGCTGCTTTCTTTGGATTAGCTGGAGCTAATTATGGTTTAGTTGATTGCACTTATGCAACTGGATTACCTACTTGTAGTACTTATAATGGATTCTCACCATCATCACAAATGCTTACTGCTTTAAATTCTAAAACTCATAGAGAAGGTTCTAAAGTATATTCTTTCTGGTCTCCAAATGATGATATCATCAAATACAATTGCATTGTCAATTCAAAAAATACTTGCATTGTTCCTGGAAGTGATGAATCAGTAATTCTATCATTCATAATATTAGTATTAATAAAACGGATATACACACTTTGATGTTAGAGATAAGTTTGCAGCTGACATACTTCGTCTCATCTAGAAATTATGATTATTTTATATATTAATTAAATATAAGACTCAAATCTTATTTAATCGTAAGGGGGGTGTTCTTGCAAATATACTGCTAAAAAAGGGGCCAACATCAAAGACCCTTTGTATAACAATTTTTTAATTATGCAAATGAGACACAACAATAAGCGAGGTACAACATCATTATTTTCAGGTTTGTGAAAGGAGTGTGTCTGAATTACAATTAATTAATTTATTAATTGCTTTTCAATTACAATTACTTTAATCTAGGCACACCCCCTAACACAAACCTTTTGCAAAATCCCATATATTTGAATGTCTATTCTTAATATATATAGATTGCCTAAAGCTTAAGTTACAGAAAAAGGGAACCTTCATCGAAATTGTTCATCCAGCAAAATCATCAGATGAAGAAACTATAGTTAAGAAACGTATTATTAACAATTTTGATGTCAATCCTACCTTTTGGATCACTTCTGAATAAGTTGTTCCTCCTTCTTTAGATTTTGAGAGTCTTTTTAAAACACCTTTTCCAGAATAAATTCTTAAACACAATGAAACCTTTGAAAAGCTCGAAGTTGTCACTAATACAAATCAAAAAATACTAATTGATGTTCCATCTAGGCCTGCTGCTTATTCTTTAGAAAAATTAAATTTGAAAGGAAAACCATCTATTGAGTAGTTGTTCTAAGCCATTCCTAATTGTATGGATTATAAGGAAAGGGATAAAAACTTTAAATAAGGAGGCTATAAACTCAACTATCAATCAGGATATGCTCCACTTGAGATTTAAAATAAACATAAGGATCCAGAAGATTATACAAAAAAATAACACTTCATTAGACAAAAATAATCTTAAGCTAATTTGAATTTGAAAAGAACATGTGGAGTATCATATGTAAAAAAAAGTGAAAGTGAATAAAAAGATGTTAATCATATTTTTAAAAAGTACTGATTAAATTTATAAAGACTACCTCCACTTGTTTATTAATGTTCATCAGGTTGTTAATCTATAAATGGTTATGATGAAGCCTTTGATAACTTATTTTATAATCTTTTGAATGGAAAAAATTTGATCGTCTTTACGCTTTTTAATTCTTAAGATGAAACTGCACTAAGAGAATATTTATTATTTCCTCACCTTAGAAATAAAATTTCAAGAGAAAGAGTTATGATAGCTAGAAAATTCTTAAATTTATGGATGCTATTTTAAGATGCTTTATGTTTAGTTATTCACTATAACTATGATGAGTAAAAAATTAAATATAATTAATAGAAATTAATTATTAAGGCCAATATAATTGGATGAATAGGAAGATATTAAACAATAATTAGTGAACTTTATATGTGAGTCAGAAATTTCAATTTGTTTATTATTTAAAAAAAGTGTATCTGGTAGAAAAGCATTTTTGAAAAGTGTTGGATTGTGGAATGAAGTAAGTGATAATTCTTCAGTCTGTACAGAAACATAAAGAGAGGATATATAAACTAAATTTGTAATATCAGTACCAAAAGTTCCAATAAATAGTAATTCAACTGCCTAAAGTTTGTTTTAAGAATTTACAAATATAATTTAACAATAAGAGAATTATGTTTTAGAAGCTAGATCTCAAACTCAAGCACCATAAACCTAATAATAAAGTCCAAATAATGTAAATTAAACAAAAAAGAAGAAGAGAGCAAAAATCTTATCATCTACAGATGTTAGAAAAGATGGCGGAGCCAGTGAATAATTGATAAATTATCTAGTTAAAGAAGATGGAAATCATAATATCAACACCTGTAGTATCAGAATGGAAATGTACGTAACTGAAGAGAAATGGAAAACAGCCAATGATCATAATAAGGATTTGCTTAATGCTTTTATTAAGAGAGTTGAACATCATGTAACTAGTTCATATCTCATAAAAATGATGAATAAAAGATTTAAAGCAAATGAAAAAGGTTAAGAATATATTATAAGAAGAAGCAATAAAATTTATGAAATCCCAACAGAGAATGTTTAGATGAAGTTAAATAAAAAATCAATAAATTGGACATCAACTTATTCTCCTGAAAACTTCAAAAATTTATCAACATATAAATTAACCAAAAAATACTAACCTATTTCTCTTGATATCATTAAAATGAAGGAATTAAGTTTTCTCAAATAACCATTATATTGTATAACTACAAGAGATAGTTTTGCCTTTGATTTAATTACTAAAGTTACTAAAGTTAAATTAGGAGATAGATTAGTAGATAGGTAATAAATATTAATCTATATAAATTTAGATTAGATTTTTTTTTTGAACCTAACAATTGTCCATGCAATTTTAAATCATTTTTACCAATGTTCCCAGAATACTAAGTAGGAGCACATGCATATGTTGGTTATTTTACAAATGAAGAATTATTATAAATGGAAAAAGATATTTATGAAATGGAATTGAAAGGATTTGATGGTAATATTAAATAAAATTAAATTTAATAGGTCACTATCTACCCATGACTGCTTAAATATCCCATGCTTAATCAAATCATCATTCAAGTGTACGTAGAACCAAATTCTTTTTTGGATATAGATATATGTGGACTAAATGTTAATTGGCAGAACCTCATTCTATGGTAGCTGCTGGTGTTAGAAGAGATGTATCATCCCCTCCATTATGGATGAGAAATCTTATAACTAAATTAGAAAATGATAATGTTGTTCCTAAAAAATTTATTAATTCTATAGCTTGTAATGTGTATCATGACGGAAAAGAAGGATTAGCATAACATTTTGATGATGCAGTTAGATTTAAATAACCAATTTTTACAATAAGAGTTTTTTCTGATTGTAGATTATCTTTTGGAAGTCAATTTTATGGATTTTGTAATGGTGCTTTTGCTGTTCCTTTACCAAGAGGGTATTTATTATATTTACTATTATTAAGTTGTATTCTTTGTATGGAGGAAGGATCTTATGCTGCTAATGCTATTAAGCATTGTGTTAGACCTTGTGATATGACTGGAAAAAGTGCAGCTTTAATATTACGTCAAATGCATGATCAAGTCACTTAAGAAGCTATAAAATATGATGAATAAGTTGATCTACCATGTCATATGTCTACTTTATCAGTTGATGATAATGCAATACCATTTGGAGAATAGAAAAGATTGGAAGCTGAATTACTAAGCTGATTATGAATAATAAATGCCATATTATTTAATATTATACTCATTTAAAAAACAATTTAAGATCTTGCATCAAAAGTTATAGTTGATTTAACGTATATAATAAAAAATTACTTTAATACTTTTCAGAATTCAATTCATTATTATTGAATTTATTAAGAAAATGTTTCGGATAGCAGATAAAATATAATCTATATTATGTCCTATGCACAAAAAACCCATCAAATATTTAAATATTGGTTAGAATTGTTAATTGGAATAGAGAATAGGATGCTCTTCATGTATGGGTGGAAATTTTATAGATTTTGAATTAGCGGAAGAACTTCTTGAAAAATTGCATAATGGCAACAGTGATGATGATATGAAATAACAATTAAAGATTGACTTTTTGCATACCTTAAATCAATTTAAAAATTAAGTCAATAAAATGTTAGATAACATGGAAATATTAGTATAATCTATGAACAAGAGCTCTGATTCTCTAATTAATTGGCTAAACCAAATTAAAGAAGCTGCTCAATTTAATACTGAGGATTTAAAATAAATAGCTTCTAAATTAGGCTTATATATAGTCAAATAAGGTGATTAATTTTAACCTAGAGTTAATGAGTAATGGTCAAATTAAATCAATAAATATGCTTTAATACTATAAAAATCAAGTTTACTAATTAATTAAAAAATACTTGAGAAAGAATTAAATCCATCCTCTGAATAGACTGATATTAGAACCTTAAATCCACCAAAACAAATTTAAACAATTAATTCAAAAAATTCATTGTCCTTAAAATAAGAAGATATTGAGTAATAATTTTAAAAACAAAACTAAAATTACATAATGGAAATTGATGAATAAAAAAAGAAGATTGAATTTTTAGAAGCTTAGATTGAAAAATATCATAACTTGTACAACAAACTAAAGAACGATAACAAAGAATTAACTTCTGAAACACCTTAAGTTAATCAAATTATTAATAAAGGAGTATCTGAAAAAAAAGAACTTCAAAAAAGCCCCATATAAAAATAAGATAGAGAGTAATTATAAATATAAAAATATTTGGATGAAAAAACAATTAATCATCCTCTTTGGAAAGAATTTATCAATGAAATGGATCATATAAAAAATTAATTAAAATGGATAGAATTTAAATTTGCAGAACAATTATATCAATTCAATTAAACTGCTGTTTAGGAATAAGAGAAGAAATTGTTATATTTCAGCAAAAAAACATCAGAAAACTAAAACTTTTCTAAGTTTTATCTAAATTAGTTAATAGCTTAATTGCAAACAATTAACAAATTGCTACTAGATTCTTAAACTATGTATAAAATGGATAATATTGTTGTTTCTAAAAATTTTCAGGATGAACAAGATTTAAAAAAAAAAGTTTAAGAAACAATTGATTATATCAGAAATCATAAATAACATCTAGATGTTTGTTAAGTAGAGCTATAATATGTTTAAGAACTTATGTCAATAAACGAATTATCAAAATGTAATTTAGTTAACAGCAGAGACTTATAAAAATATTTTTAAAGACTTACTGACAAAAACAAATATGGAATATTTTATATTAATAATAATGTCTTACTTAAAAACTCTAAAAGTCTTCAATAAGTAGTAATAAATAATTTATAAGATAATTAATTAAAAGATAATCTGCAAATAGACAAAGATTTTATTTTGGTAAATAAATTTGTTTGGAAATTTATTTCTACATTGTACTTTAGCAGTGGTCCAGAAATCTTGATCAAAGAAAATTGAAATAATATATTTATTAAAAACACTTTCACTTTGAATCGTTATAATTTTAAACTAAAATAATCAATATGTTCTTCTAAAGATATATTATTTTAAATGCAAATAAAATAAATGCATTCACCTTAAAAACGTGCCATTTATTCTATTAAATTATGATTTAATTTTGAGGAAAAATTTTGGACCTTCTAAAAAATCATTCTCATAATTGATAAAAATTAATTAAAATTAGATCTTTGGCCTAGTTTGACAAATAAGAACGAATTCTTATCGAATCTTATATTGTAAGGGATTTTTTGAATATATGATATACAAAATTATTATAAATATATATGCAATAATCCCATTTTTATTACGATATGTTCAAAATCATATCATTACTATTTTAATAGGATCTTATTAATAAATAAGAGAAGGATGAATTGAAATGTAAATGAATTTTTAATGTTAGTTATGGTACTTGAATCTTAATCTGAATTGATGTTTTAACTGCAGGCCATTTATCGTTCATCTGTAAAGGGAAAACAATTATATATGGTCCATGAAATAAAAAAATATGTAGAGTCTCATCGATAAGGTTCTCCAAGAAATAGTTCACCAAGATCATCTAGATATTTAGAAGCTTCTCGCATGTGGAGTATTTATGAAGAGAATGAAGAGGAAGAAAGAGATAATGAAATAAAACTGATTGGTATTCGACGCTGACAATTAGTTTGTTCAAAAGTTGTGACTCTTTTTGTTTATTAATTATTAATGGAGACAGAAACTCAATATCAAATTTCTCCAGAAGGTGTGTGTTACTAATTATATCTTTAGATATCGAATTTCTGAATGATAAATATCGTCTGGTTTTCACATACCCTGCAGCAACATTTGCCATTTCTGCTATTATCCTTGCATCCACAAGATTTTTGAGTTTTCCGATATTCTTTAGAAATCCTCTAGAAGTAATCACTAAAATAATTTATCAGTCTCCAGAAGGTAATGCTCTCTTTTATACCAGACTATCAAAAATGGCGAAACCACCATTATTATTATATGGCGCATGTGTAGGAGGAGCAATTGGGTTATTTTAGTATGAATTAGCTAAATATCACATATTTGTTAAATATAAAACTTTAGTAAATACTTATTTGGATGCTTGTGAAGCTGTCTATGTGAGTGAATTAAAAAAAACTCAAGAAAAATGNGTTCTTCTAAAGATATATTATTTTAAATGCAAATAAAATAAATGCATTCACCTTAAAAACGTGCCATTTATTCTATTAAATTATGATTTAATTTTGAGGAAAAATTTTGGACCTTCTAAAAAATCATTCTCATAATTGATAAAAATTAATTAAAATTAGATCTTTGGCCTAGTTTGACAAATAAGAACGAATTCTTATCGAATCTTATATTGTAAGGGATTTTTTGAATATATGATATACAAAATTATTATAAATATATATGCAATAATCCCATTTTTATTACGATATGTTCAAAATCATATCATTACTATTTTAATAGGATCTTATTAATAAATAAGAGAAGGATGAATTGAAATGTAAATGAATTTTTAATGTTAGTTATGGTACTTGAATCTTAATCTGAATTGATGTTTTAACTGCAGGCCATTTATCGTTCATCTGTAAAGGGAAAACAATTATATATGGTCCATGAAATAAAAAAATATGTAGAGTCTCATCGATAAGGTTCTCCAAGAAATAGTTCACCAAGATCATCTAGATATTTAGAAGCTTCTCGCATGTGGAGTATTTATGAAGAGAATGAAGAGGAAGAAAGAGATAATGAAATAAAACTGATTGGTATTCGACGCTGACAATTAGTTTGTTCAAAAGTTGTGACTCTTTTTGTTTATTAATTATTAATGGAGACAGAAACTCAATATCAAATTTCTCCAGAAGGTGTGTGTTACTAATTATATCTTTAGATATCGAATTTCTGAATGATAAATATCGTCTGGTTTTCACATACCCTGCAGCAACATTTGCCATTTCTGCTATTATCCTTGCATCCACAAGATTTTTGAGTTTTCCGATATTCTTTAGAAATCCTCTAGAAGTAATCACTAAAATAATTTATCAGTCTCCAGAAGGTAATGCTCTCTTTTATACCAGACTATCAAAAATGGCGAAACCACCATTATTATTATATGGCGCATGTGTAGGAGGAGCAATTGGGTTATTTTAGTATGAATTAGCTAAATATCACATATTTGTTAAATATAAAACTTTAGTAAATACTTATTTGGATGCTTGTGAAGCTGTCTATGTGAGTGAATTAAAAAAAACTCAAGAAAAATGAATATAATTAAATTATGAGTATATTATCAATATCATTATAAGTTAAACTTAATAACTACATTATTATTTAATATCTAGTATTTCAATAGATAAACAAATATTTATAGTCAGATTATATAATTTTTGGTTAACTTTAAAAAAATAATAATCATAGTTAAAATGAAAACAGCTGTTAATTCATTATAAGTTTCTAGATCATAACCTCCAACTCTAATGCCAGTTATAACTACACCAGTGATAGTCGAAAGAGGTAGACAGAAAATGAATAAATTTTAGGATCAAATTTGTAACATTCCTAAATTTTCACTAAAGACTCTCCTTAATAATTAAGAAATGAATAATAATAGTTAATAGAATTGGAAACAAGAATCTAACATCTTGAATAGGATTCCTCTCCAAAACTCAAACATAACAATTTAATTGAAGAAAACAAAAAATTAAAGGAATAAGTTAGACGATAAACTGAATCTGCTGATAAAGTTAAAGGAGAACTAACTATTGCTAAAAACGAAATCTCAAAGTACTCATTTTTCATTAGTTTTAGACTTAAAAAGGTTTTAGAAATATAAGAAGAAGCCTTAACGGATATAAGAATTAAAAATCATAGTAGAAATTTATCACATTCTGAAAAAATGAAAAATGATAAACTAATTTTATAAAAAGAAATTATGGAGTAGCAACATTTAAAAGAAAAACTATAATTGCAAAACTAGATAATATAACTTCAATTAATTTTGGAATAGTAAACAACTCATTGCTAAAATATACCTTTACTTTAAATAAAACAACAATCAACAATTAGTCAAATTGGATAATCCTATAATTTGATTTCCAAATCATAAACAAGTTAACAAACATCGAAAAGTATAACTTTATAGGAGAATGAATAAAAATAATCTTCTTTGAATAAAATTTCTTTAGTTTACTCTTAAGATGGAGATTCTAACTAAATTTATTATAGGCCTAATATCAAAGATAAATTATTCTAAGTTCCATCTAAAGGTTTGACAAAAGAAAATAGTTCTCCCCATTATAATAATTACAGCCAACCATAATTAAAATTTGCTTTATCTGATGATATTGCTAACGAAAAATAAGAGGACAATAATATAAAATCGAATTTTAAAACTAAAAAATTCTATGAGATGTAATCGAAATTGACTGCAAATGATCAACAGAAAGAAAGAAATTAAATTCACAGAAATTCTTTGTCTAAAATAACTTAATAAATAGGTTTAGATGAAACAACTTAAAAAAATTAAAAAATTGATAAGATTTTTGTCTAATCTCCAAAATATTAATCTTCTAATTTCTCTAATAATTAATACATATAAGAATTGTAAGAACTTAAAAAAGAAATTAATCTTTAAAAAGAAGAAATTTAATAATAAATTAATAAAACAATAATGCTAGAATAAGAGAAGCTTAATATTATTGAAAAAAATGAATAACTTTTATTTCAATTTCAAAAGTAAGTTGAAGAGATTAAAATATGTGAATCAATCAAAGAAAATAATCAATTTGAAATTGCAAGATTTGAAAATAAACTTGAATCCCAAAAATTGTATTATGAATCTTAGATTTAAGATTATTAAACCAAATTTAAAATTCTTTAAGATTAATTAGAAGAAAAAAAATTAATAACAGAATAATTAATATAAGAAAAATAAAATTTTTATACTTTAGTGGATAAATAAAATGAAATATAGCAAATTGAAGAAAAACAAATAGAAATTCTAAATCTTACTTAAAAAGCTCTCAATTATAAAAAAAAAAATGATTTATATGAAATAGAAATTAATTAATTGAAATAAAAAGAGTAAAATTCAAGTTTAGAAATTGAAAAAATTAAGATTTAATTTCAAGATACATAAAAAATTTTACAAGAAACAAAAGATTAATTGTAAATAATTTAATCTTAGTATAAATAGGAACTTATTTTAAGAGAAAAATTAGAACTAAATTATGCTATTTTATCGAAAGAATTTAGTCTATATAAAGAAAACTCTTTTCTATTAATAGATGATTTTAAAACATAACTAAAATAATATTAGAATAAAGATATAGAAATTATATAATAAGAAAATAAAAATCCATCCAATTAAGATAGGCTTGAGTAAGATGTCATTCAGTCGTTAATATAATCAAAAATTATTATAAAACAAAAAAATGAGAACATGTAATTATAATAAACAAAATAATATTTGGAGGAAGAAATTATGGACTTTAAAAATTCGCTTACAAATTAAGCTTAATTAATACATTAAACAAAATAAATTTAGTAATAAAAATTCCATATTACTGGGTCCTTGAAGTTAGATTTATCTAAAATTTAATTAGATGAAGAACTAGTTGAATCTAATTATTAATAGTAATAAGAAATAGACCAAATTATACTTGAAAATGATTCTGTTCCAAATATTTATGATTAAGTTTAAACAGATAGAAATTAAATTAATAAGACATTATAATAAAAAGATTAGGAATTGAGCATCTAAAAATAATAGATTGAAAAATTAATTATAATACATTCTGAATAAAAAAATTAGATTAGTAACTTGAAGTCTGAATTATAATCCTTAGAGATAATTACTAAAGAAATGAAAGAATAGATTAAAAAATAAGAAACAGATAATTAATTTCATCAAAAGGAAACAATTTAATAAATGCAAGTTGAGTTGCATGATTATGACAAAAGAGGAATTACTAAAAATTCTTCTTGCTTAATCAATCAAAAGATAAAATAAAGAGATTTAGAAATTAGAATTTTAAATAAATCTACTCAAGAAATATAATAACCAACAAAAAATGAAGTCGTGTCTCTCTAAAAAAAATTACAATAATAAAGTGAATTTATTAAAAAATAAAACTAAGAATTAGATAAAATTAGTTTATTGTATTAAAATTATTAGATCGAAGTTCAGTCAAATAACTTGTAAATAGAATTATAAAAATCTGAGTATGAATAAATGAAAAGACATTTTCATACCATTATATCTTAATAAAAAATTGTCTTAGAATAAAAGGATAAAGAAATTCTTAAAATAAAACAACAATTGTCTAATTATGAAATCAATAAATTTGACAATGATAAATTAAATTAAATATTAATTAAAAGCTCAGAAAAATAGGAAATAAAAAAAAATGAATTTATTTAAGATTCAATGTAACAAACCAATAACGAATTAAAATAATAGCTTGAAAAAGTTTAAGGTGAAAATGCTGGCTTATAGAATGTAATCAATGGACTTTAAAAAGAAAATGCATCTTTAAGAGACAATAATTAAAAATTAATAAAAAAATTCGAAGAAAATTATCAACTAAGGGAATATTCAGGATAATTGTTTTAAGATAATATACACTTAAGACCAAATATTAATCTAATTAGTTAATAAAATGAAAATTTCCAACCTGATTATCCAAAACCTGGATTTATATCATCTAAAAATAAAAAATTTGATGAAATTGAAATAGAAAATTGTGCATAATAAAAAGAAATATCTAGTCTAAGATTAATCATAAGAGATTTATAAAATAATTAAAATTATAACATAAATCAAAATCTAGAGAGAAATATTTCAAATCATGGCTAAAAATTATCATAAAAGAAACATCTTTTTGATCAAAATAGTATAAAAAGTAAAAACAATTGATAGATGCCTCTTTTTTTTATTGATTTTTAATTTATATTTTCTTTAAAAGTTATAGAAAACTTATAAACTTAATAAATAATGATTTGAAGTGAAAAATTTAATCCATTTAAGATAAACTAAAACAGTAGCATCCAAAAGAGAAAAATTATGAATTTAACAGATTCTCTATATACATACTGCTATAATAATTTATAAAAACTAATTTTTTTCTTATATTTTTATTCTAATAGAAAAAAACTAAATTTTATAAATTAATATGGGATATAAAGGAGCATTTACATTAATTCATAATCATTAATTAAGCAAAATCTTTCATTTATTATCAGTCTAAAGTTTAATTTAATAATTCAAGTTTTTTTTGATCATTAAACTTAAATTAGCATTTATTTAATTCTTAAATTAAATATAACAAAACTAAAAAAAGCAAAACGTAAATAGTAGAAAAGTTAAGAAGATCTGTAAATATATATATTTGTAATGTTTATTCAATTATTAGCTTATGATAGTAGTATCAGATATGAAAAATGATTATCGATTTTAATTATTCATTAATTGAGGTTTGCATTAATCAAATTAATTGAATTTTATAATTTGAATAAATGAAATAGTTTTATATGTTTAATATAGGTACGAGTTTACTTTATAAATGAACATGCAAGTGATTAAAAAATAATAATTCTGATACTTATTTTATATATTTTATCAATAAGGTTTGCATTATCTAATAAAATAAACTGTGGCAAGCAATGATAAAGCTGGTAATCCACGGCTATTGTAAAATTATAAGAATTTACAGAACCATTCTTTTGACTGGATTCATCCTTTCAAATCTGATTTATCTTGCAACATCACCAGCTGGTTATCTTAATTAGATATATGAAATAGTGCAAACTCCAGCTGATACAACAGCAGCAATTGGTGAAAAGAACTAGGATTTTATTAATTCCTTATTACATAAGAATTAAAATATTTTTGACTAAATGATAAGCACTCTGTATTAATCCTGAATTTATAAGAATCAACTATCGTTTCATCAGTAGGAATAGAATATAATTCTCTAACTTCTGGAGTTACTGTAAGGAAATCAATATCCTAATTTGACATTATTTATATAAATTTATTAATATATTTTAAATATTTATTTTATTAATATATGAAGAAATAATTTAATTTTTTCTCTTACTTTTAATACTCATGCTTTTTGATAATAGGTATTTAATGCCTCATAAATAATAAAATTTATCTGATAATTAAATGCAAAAAATTTATAGAATGAATTTTATAAAATAGATTCCATTCTAATTAAAATAAGTCCATTAAATTAACATAATTTTTGTTTTGCAAATTAAAGTTATAAAACGGAAGCATAGTTTAATTTGAGCAAATCTTCTGAAAAGATATATGATTATTCCCTTTTTAATTATAGATAATCTTCAATTAACATTTGGTTGATTAAATTTTAAATTAAGTAATGAATTTGCTTCTAATCTATAATTTACTTCTTATTGTTTATTCTATAGACAAATGTCAGGAGTATCGCACTTAAAAAGACTGTATATTGAGTACTGACAGCTAATGTATTTGAGACTTGCTAAATGATATAGGTTTTTGGAATTAGGAGTATTGTGAATTCACAAAAAACTTATAACTTGGTTGTTCAAGATTTTTAAATCGGATGGCATGTATAAAATAGTTATCTAATGCTTTAAATGAGAAAGCCAGATGTATATTAAAATATAATTTATTAGGTATCTTTAACAATGCTTGCGAACCAGTTATTGAACTCTCATCATTGACTTGCAATGCTGTAATAACTAAGCATGCTTGTTTAGATATAACTAATATTGATTAATTATGTTTTTGGGACCCATTAAAATTTTAATGTAATGAAGTTACCAAAGCTAGCTATTAGAATGATTTTGAAGATGTTTTATATAGTGCATCTGTTTGCAGTAGAATTGAGAGTAATAATTAACACAAAATTTTAGACTACTTAGTAATTCATAGTTCTGTAATTTGGAATATAATTTCTTATAATCCTGATTTTGTATCGGAATCTGAGAATATTTATAAATAAGATTTAGGTTTGGGAACATAATAAGATACAAATAATTATGAAACAGGAAATTTAGCTAATAATTTTGTTTATAATGTTTGCAATTAGCCTAACTAAATATCTTATTTTTAATGGTATATTTTGAATGATCTTCAAGCAAAATAAATAAAAAATTGTAAAAATGCGTTATTATTTAATAGTAAAAATTACTGACAGAAAGCGTGAAGGATGTATTGCATTATAAATCACAGACGATGATGATTATAATTTAATATTTTCAAAAAAGAAAGAAACAATGGGAGTTAATAAAATATATTGTAGATATTAAGGAGGAATTTTTATAAATTATCGCTGTTTTTACTATGAAGATATTTCTATTTTGAGAAATTCTTAATTTTTACAAGAACAATAAATAAATTGTTACTAATTAAATTTATAATAATGTGCAATAGTTAATTTAAACTGTTATCCAGTAATTAAGCATGGTAATAATGAAAAATAAGAAACTTGTGTTTCCTCTTCAAATGAATTATTAATTGCATAAGGATGTTTATCAAATACCTAAGTTTACTAGACTCATCATTATTGCAGTTCTAGTTCAAATTAATCAACTGGGATTTATTTAGATTTTAATTTAAATCCTCCTAGTTGTAGTTCAAAATGTTTTGTCCTTCAAAAGGATGATTGCGATCTGAGTTATTGTAATTGGGTTTATGAAGGAGAAGGATTTCATGGTTGTATTCCTCATTTAGGTTGCAATCATCCTGGATTAAATTTATATTATTGTCAAAATATGGCTTAACTTTGCTAATGGGATTCAATAAATGGATATTGTTACTAAATAAAATATTACGAACTTTTCAATCTTAAATGTAGTGAAGCTACTTCAAAGTTTTTGTGTGGAAATATTAAAACATTTGGAGAGGAATGTATTTGGATAGATGAAGACTTAATTTGTCTAAATGTATTAACAATACCAACTTTAAAAGTATTTGAATCCTTTCCTGTAAAATATGTAGTTAATAGAGAATTATGTATGAATTAAAAAGGAAAGCATTAATACATTAATTATTTTTGTATTAATGAATCCAATTCCAAAAATTGTGAAAAAGAAGATCCAGAAAATTTTGGTAAAGAATTATGTATAACATCATCTTAATGTTATTGGAATGTTTAAATATCAAAATGTGAATAGGTACAATTAAAATCTTCATGCGGTTAAATGATAAATGTTTCTCCTGATGTTTGTAGTTAATTTAATAATTGCTCATATGATATATCTAAAATTAGTTGTGTCTCACTTTCTAGTTAAATCTTTTGCACCACTCCTGGAATTTCTAGAAATGTTTGTTTAGATTTAGAAGATTAAAATTGTTAATGGATTGGATCTCAATGTATTGAAGTCCTACAATTTAGAGAACCATGTTAATCTTATAGAGCTGTGACAAAATCAGTTTGTGTTTCTTAAGAAACTCATAAATGTTAATTTGTTTCACATAATTGCCAATTAGTGGAGACATAACCTCTCAGTTGCTCAGATTTATTTAATAAGTTTGCTTGTTAGGCAAGCTAAGATTCATGCTATTTTACAAATAGATGCAAGAGTTTTTAATAATTAAATTAAAAATGCGAAGGTTTCTTTTTAAGTAAAACTGCATGTCTAAGTCTATCAACTTTTGGAGAATAATGTATTTGGAAGAATGACTAATGTATGTATATAACTGAAGAATTAAATTGTTTATCAGTTTTACCAATTAATGTTTGGGGTTGTATTAGCATATCAGCTAAAACTTAAGGTTATCTTAGTCCATAATATTATTGTTAATATAATTAAGCTACTCAGACTTGCTTTTCGTCAACATCAATTATTACAGGTTGTTTAGGATAGTCAAACTTTAATATTCATAGGTGTAGTGCCCAAACAACAGGTAATTGCATTTATAAAAATTATAAATGTGTTTCTATTGACATAAATCATAAATATTGGGATATATAACTTGGTACAATAAATTGTGAGTAAGCTAATTTATAAACTTGTCAATATGTAAAAGGAAGAATTTGCTAAACAATTAACTAAACATGGAATTCTTTTAATGATGTTCGTTGTGGTGAAGTTACAACAGGTAAAATACCATGCTCATTAGAAACACTTGATTACGAAAGTACTTTCAATTATTTTTAAACAATTAAATCACAATTTACTCCTTAAGTTTGTGCATAATTAGAAGGTTTACTTCCTAAACCATGCTATTGGGATTCAATTAATAAAGAGTGTGCCTATCCTCTACCAACTTTACGTTTTACTTGCAATTCTTTGGGAATCAATAGATCAGTATGTTTAAGTTAAACATATGGTTAATGTGCTTTTGTTAATTTTTTATGCATTGAAGCCTCATTAAAAGATGAAAGTTGTGTAAATCTTAACAAATGGGCTTGTTTGAATTCAAGCAAAAATTGTGTTCAATAGAATATCAAGCCATACAACGTTTGTTAAGATAGAAGAATAGATTTGACTTTGACTTGCACAAATTAAGATTATCAAAGTTGTTCCTTATTAGAAGATTGCTATGCAATTCAATTTAAATGTTATAGTCTATTACCAGCTTAGGTTTCACCTACAAATTGTCATACTCCTCAAATTGGTAAATCCGTTTGTCTAAAATCTTCTATGTATTGTTAATTCTTTAATTCGAAATGTTAGACTGTATCATATAATAAATGTGAGTATTTATTAAACTTGGAATCATGTGCAAATAATTTATTTTATAACTGTGTATTTTTAAATAATAAATGCTATACGCAAAATTATTTAATTAAATGTGACATATATGAATCTACAAATTATAATTTTTGTAGGCAATTTTAAAATTGTAAATACAATTTTGAAAAGATGAATTGTGTTGATTTAAACACACTTAAAGACGTTTAAAACAATCAAGTAAATTATGATTAAAAAGATTGTAATGTATTTGAAAATTAATTTGATTGTTTGAGTTAATGGTAATTAATTTGTAAATATTCAAAAAATTCAGGATGTGCGAATACGAATGATAATCCAAGTGAATGTCCACATTTATAATAATATAGTAAAATTATGTGTTAGAAATATGAAAATTGTGAATTTTAATTTGGATATTTTTGCATAGATAAAACCAAAAANATTATTTCTCCAGTCCCAAAACAATCATTAGATGAATACTATTGTTCTTATAAAATTCCTGATAGGCTTTGTACTTCTATTGTATCCTCTACAACCATTGCAGCATGTGGAAATGCTAATTTAATATTAAATTAATAAAGTTGTTCATAGCAAACGCTTGGAAATTGTATATTTTTTGATTAAAAATGTAAAGTTGAACCTTCTGATTCATAATCAAATAGATATTGGAATCATCTTTTAAAAAAAATAGATTGCGAATAGGCTAATAAAAATACATGTTCAAAACTTAAAAACAGTTTATGTTAAGTCACTTCAAATTTTTGTTAAAAAGTAATTGATCCAAAATTAGCTTGCTTATTTCCAGCAAACATTGTAACCTACAACCCTATCTAATATTGTGCTAATTCTATTTATAATGATAATACATTTTCTGCTGAAGTTCGATGTAAAATCAACACAGCTTAGACTAATTGTGAAGTTCCTTCAAACACTAGTTATTATGCATGTGATGAACCAGGAATAAATAAAATAATCTGTTTTGAAGCTACCTACGGCTAATGTGCTTTTATCAATGGAAAATGCACATCTGACCTATCTAAAGTAACTTCTTGTAAGGAACTGAATAAACTAGCTTGCTTAAACACAAATTTATAATGTGGCTATTTTACCAAAAACTGTATATAAAATGGTTCTACACCATTATGTCCTGCTGAAATTAAAAATAATTCATGGTTTTTATGTTCAAGCATGGAGAAATGTTATGGCATTTTAGGTGGTTGTAAATAGATCTCAACATCAAATACAATTCATCTAAATTGTGAGAATCCAGGTCTAGGAAAAAGTGTTTGTGAGTAATCATTACAGAATTGTGTATTTATTAATGGTGTTTGTAAGAGAATTTCAAATAAATAATGTGAATATGAATATACAAAAGAAGACTGTGTTAACAATCTATATTATAATTGTGTGTTTAATGAAGGAAAATGCTATACATAAAATTTATTAGTTAAATGCGATAAATATAATTTTACAAATTATAAATTCTGCAGATAATTTCCTTAATGTCAATATATACATAACTAATGTAAAGATTTCACTTTGCTAAGCCAAGTATAAAATGATATGATTCAATATAATAAAGATTGTAATGTATTTGAAAATTAATTTGATTGTTTGAGTTAATGGTAATTAATTTGTAAATATTCAAAAAATTCAGGATGTGCGAATACGAATGATAATCCAAGTGAATGTCCACATTTATAATAATATAGTAAAATTATGTGTTAGAAATATGAAAATTGTGAATTTTAATTTGGATATTTTTGCATAGATAAAACCAAAAGTTTAAATTGTTCTTAATTATCTGAATCTTTGTGTTTATAAGATATTTCAGATAATTTAGCTTGTTATTGGGATGGCACGGATTGTTAAGATGTAACAACTTAAATATGTTCTGATGTTTAATCTTTTACTATGAATTATGCTGGATGTTATAAAATTAGTAATTAAGATTCTAAAAAATGTATGTATCAATTTTTTACTTCAAAATGTAAAATTCTAAAAGAAATAAATAATTGTTCTGATTTCACAACTAATATTGAATGTGCAACTAGAGCTAATGCCTCTTGTTTATTAGGAAATCCAATTGATACAGTTACTACTTGTACTTCAATTTCTAATACTTTTAATATTAATTTAAATTTATATGGATGCATGCAATTAACTACAAATGCTTATTATTATGATATTTATAATTATCAATGTAAATTACTTGATTAAGCCAATTATGAAAATGTTCAAGGATGCCGTTATTTAAATAAAAAAGCTTGTATTGAAATAACAAGTGTGATATTAAATATTAACTGTGGATGGATAGACNAAAAATAATTCATGGTTTTTATGTTCAAGCATGGAGAAATGTTATGGCATTTTAGGTGGTTGTAAATAGATCTCAACATCAAATACAATTCATCTAAATTGTGAGAATCCAGGTCTAGGAAAAAGTGTTTGTGAGTAATCATTACAGAATTGTGTATTTATTAATGGTGTTTGTAAGAGAATTTCAAATAAATAATGTGAATATGAATATACAAAAGAAGACTGTGTTAACAATCTATATTATAATTGTGTGTTTAATGAAGGAAAATGCTATACATAAAATTTATTAGTTAAATGCGATAAATATAATTTTACAAATTATAAATTCTGCAGATAATTTCCTTAATGTCAATATATACATAACTAATGTAAAGATTTCACTTTGCTAAGCCAAGTATAAAATGATATGATTCAATATAATAAAGATTGTAATGTATTTGAAAATTAATTTGATTGTTTGAGTTAATGGTAATTAATTTGTAAATATTCAAAAAATTCAGGATGTGCGAATACGAATGATAATCCAAGTGAATGTCCACATTTATAATAATATAGTAAAATTATGTGTTAGAAATATGAAAATTGTGAATTTTAATTTGGATATTTTTGCATAGATAAAACCAAAAATTTAAATTGTTCTTAATTATCTGAATCTTTGTGTTTATAAGATATTTCAGATAATTTAGCTTGTTATTGGGATGGCACGGATTGTTAAGATGTAACAACTTAAATATGTTCTGATGTTTAATCTTTTACTATGAATTATGCTGGATGTTATAAAATTAGTAATTAAGATTCTAAAAAATGTATGTATCAATTTTTTACTTCAAAATGTAAAATTCTAAAAGAAATAAATAATTGTTCTGATTTCACAACTAATATTGAATGTGCAACTAGAGCTAATGCCTCTTGTTTATTAGGAAATCCAATTGATACAGTTACTACTTGTACTTCAATTTCTAATACTTTTAATATTAATTTAAATTTATATGGATGCATGCAATTAACTACAAATGCTTATTATTATGATATTTATAATTATCAATGTAAATTACTTGATTAAGCCAATTATGAAAATGTTCAAGGATGCCGTTATTTAAATAAAAAAGCTTGTATTGAAATAACAAGTGTGATATTAAATATTAACTGTGGATGGATAGACGATGAATGTTAGCAATTAATTGATCTAACAAATTTAAATGATTGCAGTGTTTTAAATAAAAATAGTTGCATTAATATAGAAACTACAAATCTTGTATGTGAATGGAATATCGCAAGTAAATTATGTTACCAATCAAATTAAAATGCTTGTTATGTACCTGTAATAATTCCTGAAAATCAAACAATTTTAGATATATATTCTTTAAGCTTGTGTAGTAAAGGATCAAATACTAATGGATGTATGTCTAATTCCTCAAATACTGGATGTGTTACATTTAATTATGAAATTGAAATTTGTGAAAATATGGGATTAAATAAAAAAGCCTGTTTAGAATATACTACTGGATACTGTAAATGGTAAAATAATTAATGTTAAAATTCTTAATTTGATAATTTAAATTGCAATTCTGAAGTTAATAAAAATACATGTCTAATTATTAATGATAATCTATGTGAATGGAATGATGTAAACAAAACTTGTTCCATTAAAACTTTAATTCAATGTACTGATGCTATTAATTATAATTAATGTATGAATGTACCTAATTAATTATGTGAATATACTGATTCCAAGTGTATTACACTTGAAGTAATATAACCAACTTGTAAAAATGGATATAATAAATTTGCTTGCAAAAATGTTTAAGAAGCTGTATGCTAATTTAATGAATAAAAATGTTCTATCTTATATTATGTTGACATTTGGACAATTTGTTCTTAATATGTCACAAAAGCACTTTGTGAGTCCAAGAATTGTGAATGGGAAAATCAAAAATGTATTTCCATTACAATTTGTTCTAATGATATACCTAAAATGATGATAGATGATTTCCCTTATAAATTGAATTTATGCACTCTTTATTAACCTTAAGCTTGCATCTAAATTTACAATAAATATGGATGTTTTAATTCAAGCTTATATTGTTAATGGAATGATAATACAGGATGTTCTTCTTTTGTAACACATCTCGAAGAAATTGCATGCACTGATACTTTAAAGGTTAATAGAAATGTTTGCGATAAATTTGCTCCAAAATTTTGTGAATTCAAAATTGACAGTTGTTCACCTCGTATCACTGATTACTATTTTAATAAATATCCATAATAAACTCTAGCAAGCACAGAAATAAGTCATCAAATTGAATAGTAAACCTGTGATTAATACCTAACAAAAAAAGAATGTATTTTATCAACTGCATATGAATGTTATTGGAATGGTTCTTGCCAATAAATAAGTTATGAATAAGCTGTGGAATCATAAAATTTAAATTTAAAAGGATGTAAAAAGTTCAATTTTTAATGGAGAGATAGATAATGCCTTTAATTTACTTATGTATCTAATTCTAATGATTATTTGGATAATGATATTAAATTATGTGAAACAGAGTTTATTTCAAAATAAACATGCTTAAATATTTCAGCTTAACCTTGTAGATTTGATACTAATTCTTAAAAATGCAAGATTGTTATTAAATTAGATTAACCTTGTTCTTTTTATTCAAATGTAAATAGAAGAACTTGTTAATTATTAACCAAATTTTCATGCAATTATAATTAATATGCATAATCATGTATAACTGCTGAGAATTTTTAAACAGATTTGAATGGACTTTCTAAATAAGCTTGTTTATCTCTTTCGATTGCTGCTTATTGGGATGATTTTTGTATTTCTGTTTCAATATTTGAATGTAATCAAAAATATTAGAGTACTTCATCTGCATGTGTTTTATCCTAAACTTCATGTATTTATGATGAAACCAAAAGTTTATGTGTTTCTTAATTTAATATTAATGCAGTATTTTGTAATACTTTAGGAGTAAGTAGTGAAACTTGTACATAAATAACCAGAGAACCTTGTATATTCACATCAAATAAATGTTAAAGAATACCAAAAACCTATTCTTGCGATGAAGCTCAACCAGTAAATGAAATGGCTTGTGCCTCGCTTTAACAGTCATGTTCATATAATTAATTCTAAAAAAAATGTTAATTAGTATCAAATAGTCAAAAATGCTCTACCCTAGGACTTTCAAAAAAAGCATGTTTATAAAATACATCCTGCTAATTTAATAATGATTTAATAAAATGTGAATGCTCTATTGTTGCTTCACCTTAAATTTGCAGTTATCTCTCAAGTAATAGTTGTAATTTAAATAAACAATGCTTTTTTGATAACAAATTGCAAACTTGTAGAAGAAAGTATTGTGAAGATCTTTCAAAAAGTGAATGTTATGGACAAATGGATAATTTGATTTGTTATTATACAGGTATATCTTGTTAATCAGCTAGTAAATGTGAAGATATTTTTGGGCTTAGTTCCTCTTAATGTTAAGATTTTATTTTTAATGCAATACCTTGTATAGGAACAAATAATAGATGTTTCACTTACAACAATTATTTAGAATACTGTTAAAATTCTGATTGCAAATAAAGTTTTTGTAGTTTAAATGAGAAGAAAATTTGCTCAGTTAAGTAATGTTCAGCCCTTGATAATTGCCATCAATTAGGTATCTAATGTTAAATTTTGAGTAATGGAACTTGTATTGAAAATTAAAGTTGTTAATTCTTAGATCCTGGAATTTGTGATGGATTAACAATTCGTACTCAAGCCAAATGTTCTCTTTAAAAATATAATATTTATTAAGATGATGTTTTATGTACATCTCAAATTTGTGCGTTATATGGAATTTCAGAGTTATGTGAAGGTAATCAATTTGCCAATTACACATGTACATTAGTTGATCAAAAATGTTTACCTTGTGAATAAATTAATGATCCTTGTTAATGTACTGAGAAAACGGAAATTTGTATATGGAAATAAAATACTTGTCGCTCTTTTTAATGTAATGAATTGAAAACTTAAGAATCATGCAATGCTATATCAAGATGCCTTTGGAGTTCCTAAAATAAATAATGTTTAATCCATTGTAGGAAAATTATAAATGCTGATGAATGTAATTCCAGAACTCAAGAATGTTATTATGATCAAGCAATTAATTACTGCTAAACTGGTTCTTATTTATCTCCAAACCTTAGTATATCTATCTAAATATCTGCATTACATTAATTTATCCTTTTAATTCTTCCAGTATATTTTGCTGCAATTATTTGATTTATTAATCTAAAATATATTATATAATTAATATCAAAACAAATATATCAATTCTTAAATATTCTAAATTTATGCATAAAAATATAATTCAAAATATCTTATCTTTTTAAATATAAAAACATGTATTTAATTAATTTTCTATTTGTTTTCAATGATATAATTCTAAAAATATAACTTAAATATTTTATTTTTAATCTTTTTAAATTTTACTTTATTCAAGTCACTATTAAATCAAACTTTCTATAATTATAAGAAAAAAAACAATTCATATAATTTGAGTGCTAATTTTTATTTATATTCAACTTTCCTATTTTTAACATTATTAAAATTCTCAAATGATTTATTCAAAAAGGTTTGGTATAATTGGATTATTAGTGCTGCTTTCTTTATTATAAGTCAAATGTGTTGATAAATGCATTGAATATAGAACTTTTGCTGATTGCATTGGTAGTCTTGATGATTAATGTATAAATACTTATTAGAACTATTAGGTTTTTGGGATACTGATATTTGTAATTATACAAAAAATTTAGAACTTGGTTGTTCTGAGCTATTAAACCAAAAAGCATGTAATAAATAGTTGGCCTATGCTTCAGGAGAATTAGCTCAATGTAAAATATAAATTTTCACATAGGTATTTTTACTCAAAAGTGTTAACCAATAGAAAATTTGAGTTAAATTAATTGTTAAGATAGCCTTTCTAAGCATGGATGTATGGCAATTTAAAAACCTTCAGAGTTGTGTTAATGGAATGAAAACACATACACTTGTGATTATGTTTCCCAAACTGATGATCTCAAAGATTTTTCTAATAAATTATATAGTGCATCAGTTTGTGGAAAGATAGAAAGTAAAAATCATAAACTAGTTAGACTATCTCATAATACATCATACTTTATTGTGGAAACTTACTTAATATAAGCCAAACTTTGTTTTAGAATCAGAACGACTATATAGAAAAGATTTAGGATTACAAACAGAAGCTGATAATAAAATATATGATAATGGAACTTTAAAAAATAATTATGTAAATAGTGCAGGTTACTTTTAATGGTATGAATTAGGATAACCCCTTGGAAGTGGATTAAGCAATTGTAAAAAATAATTTAAATATAGTGAAAATTAGTGACAGATAGAGAGAAGGCTGCATAGCATTAGAGATTGTAGATGATAGTGATTATTAAATGATATTCTCTTAAAAAATATCAGAAGTAGGTGTCAATCATATTTATTGCAGATATATAAAAGGAATCTTTACAAATTCAAAATGCCTTCAGATATCAGATGAATTACAATTGTAAGACGACTAATTTCTATAAAATAATTTTATCCTTTGCAAATATATTGATAGAAGTAGATGCACATATGTTGGTTTAAATTGTGTTCCTTAATCTTTAAATTCAGAGGGACAAGAAAAAGAATTTACATGTCTTGAAGGTATAAATACTCAAAAAAGTTCTTGTATTTCAGAATCTTTAGATTCTTTTAGAAAATGTAAAGGTTTATCTGGAAATGAAGGATGTTATTTAAATATCAAATAAAGTCCTCCTGTTTGCAGTTAAGAATGTGTTACAAATCAAGAAAGTTTATGTAATATTAGTAATTGTAATTGGACTTAAGAATCAAATGAATTTATTGGATGTGTCCCAAAATTAGGTTGTAAACAACCAGGAATAAATAAACATTATTGTATTAATATGAGACTCTTATGCTCTTGGGATAATACAAATTAATAATGTAGATAACTTTAAAATTTCAAGCTAAATGTTTTTAATTGTAATGAGGTAATATCAAAATTCTCTTGTGGATCAATACGTAAAATGGGATAAGAATGCATTTGGCTTGATAATGAGGAAAAGTGTATAAATGTATTAGAAGATCAGAAATTGAAATTCTTTTAATCTTTTCCTCAAAAATATGTCGTAAATAGATAATTATGTATGTATTCTAAAGGCTAGAGAAAGTATGTGAATATGATTTGCTAAAAATATTAAACAGATAACACTTGTGAAACAGAAGATAGCAGTTCTTTTAATTATGAATTATGTTTAAGTACTCCAAAATGTTAATGGGATGTATTTTATGAAAATTGTAAGCCTTTAATTGCTTAAAATAATTGTGATGCATTGATAAATGTTTCATCTTCTGCATGTACAGCTTTTACAAACTGCAAATACAATTCTCAAACAAAGAGTTGTCAAACATAATCTACAAATATAACTTGTGATGATTAAGGAATAAAAAAAGAAATATGTCTTAGTTTATCAAATCATCCATGTAAGTGGAGTAACGGCGCTTGTTCATAAGTTACTTAATTTAATCAATATTGTACATCTTACAATAATGTTTCTTAAAAAGTATGTGTATTATAATCAACTGAAAAATGTCAATTTTATTAAAACAAATGTATTTTAGTAGCAATAGCCCCAACTACATGTGAAATTTATTTTAATAAATATTCTTGTTAGTTTAGTACAGAATCTTGTTATTTCGCTGGAGATTAATGTTAAATTTTAAATTCTTCATCCTATGATAAATTAACATGTGAAGGTTTTTATTTAAGTAAAAAGGCATGTTAACAAATTACTAAAGCTAATGAAAAATGTTCATGGGATGGATAAAAATGTGTTTATTTTTAATCTACTTAACGTTATAATTGTTTAAATGGAACAGCCAATAGTCTAGCAGGTTGCATTAGTATTATTTCTCCAGTCCCAAAACAATCATTAGATGAATACTATTGTTCTTATAAAATTCCTGATAGGCTTTGTACTTCTATTGTATCCTCTACAACCATTGCAGCATGTGGAAATGCTAATTTAATATTAAATTAATAAAGTTGTTCATAGCAAACGCTTGGAAATTGTATATTTTTTGATTAAAAATGTAAAGTTGAACCTTCTGATTCATAATCAAATAGATATTGGAATCATCTTTTAAAAAAAATAGATTGCGAATAGGCTAATAAAAATACATGTTCAAAACTTAAAAACAGTTTATGTTAAGTCACTTCAAATTTTTGTTAAAAAGTAATTGATCCAAAATTAGCTTGCTTATTTCCAGCAAACATTGTAACCTACAACCCTATCTAATATTGTGCTAATTCTATTTATAATGATAATACATTTTCTGCTGAAGTTCGATGTAAAATCAACACAGCTTAGACTAATTGTGAAGTTCCTTCAAACACTAGTTATTATGCATGTGATGAACCAGGAATAAATAAAATAATCTGTTTTGAAGCTACCTACGGCTAATGTGCTTTTATCAATGGAAAATGCACATCTGACCTATCTAAAGTAACTTCTTGTAAGGAACTGAATAAACTAGCTTGCTTAAACACAAATTTATAATGTGGCTATTTTACCAAAAACTGTATATAAAATGGTTCTACACCATTATGTCCTGCTGAAATTAAAAATAATTCATGGTTTTTATGTTCAAGCATGGAGAAATGTTATGGCATTTTAGGTGGTTGTAAATAGATCTCAACATCAAATACAATTCATCTAAATTGTGAGAATCCAGGTCTAGGAAAAAGTGTTTGTGAGTAATCATTACAGAATTGTGTATTTATTAATGGTGTTTGTAAGAGAATTTCAAATAAATAATGTGAATATGAATATACAAAAGAAGACTGTGTTAACAATCTATATTATAATTGTGTGTTTAATGAAGGAAAATGCTATACATAAAATTTATTAGTTAAATGCGATAAATATAATTTTACAAATTATAAATTCTGCAGATAATTTCCTTAATGTCAATATATACATAACTAATGTAAAGATTTCACTTTGCTAAGCCAAGTATAAAATGATATGATTCAATATAATAAAGATTGTAATGTATTTGAAAATTAATTTGATTGTTTGAGTTAATGGTAATTAATTTGTAAATATTCAAAAAATTCAGGATGTGCGAATACGAATGATAATCCAAGTGAATGTCCACATTTATAATAATATAGTAAAATTATGTGTTAGAAATATGAAAATTGTGAATTTTAATTTGGATATTTTTGCATAGATAAAACCAAAAGNTTAATAAAGTTGTTCATAGCAAACGCTTGGAAATTGTATATTTTTTGATTAAAAATGTAAAGTTGAACCTTCTGATTCATAATCAAATAGATATTGGAATCATCTTTTAAAAAAAATAGATTGCGAATAGGCTAATAAAAATACATGTTCAAAACTTAAAAACAGTTTATGTTAAGTCACTTCAAATTTTTGTTAAAAAGTAATTGATCCAAAATTAGCTTGCTTATTTCCAGCAAACATTGTAACCTACAACCCTATCTAATATTGTGCTAATTCTATTTATAATGATAATACATTTTCTGCTGAAGTTCGATGTAAAATCAACACAGCTTAGACTAATTGTGAAGTTCCTTCAAACACTAGTTATTATGCATGTGATGAACCAGGAATAAATAAAATAATCTGTTTTGAAGCTACCTACGGCTAATGTGCTTTTATCAATGGAAAATGCACATCTGACCTATCTAAAGTAACTTCTTGTAAGGAACTGAATAAACTAGCTTGCTTAAACACAAATTTATAATGTGGCTATTTTACCAAAAACTGTATATAAAATGGTTCTACACCATTATGTCCTGCTGAAATTAAAAATAATTCATGGTTTTTATGTTCAAGCATGGAGAAATGTTATGGCATTTTAGGTGGTTGTAAATAGATCTCAACATCAAATACAATTCATCTAAATTGTGAGAATCCAGGTCTAGGAAAAAGTGTTTGTGAGTAATCATTACAGAATTGTGTATTTATTAATGGTGTTTGTAAGAGAATTTCAAATAAATAATGTGAATATGAATATACAAAAGAAGACTGTGTTAACAATCTATATTATAATTGTGTGTTTAATGAAGGAAAATGCTATACATAAAATTTATTAGTTAAATGCGATAAATATAATTTTACAAATTATAAATTCTGCAGATAATTTCCTTAATGTCAATATATACATAACTAATGTAAAGATTTCACTTTGCTAAGCCAAGTATAAAATGATATGATTCAATATAATAAAGATTGTAATGTATTTGAAAATTAATTTGATTGTTTGAGTTAATGGTAATTAATTTGTAAATATTCAAAAAATTCAGGATGTGCGAATACGAATGATAATCCAAGTGAATGTCCACATTTATAATAATATAGTAAAATTATGTGTTAGAAATATGAAAATTGTGAATTTTAATTTGGATATTTTTGCATAGATAAAACCAAAAATTTAAATTGTTCTTAATTATCTGAATCTTTGTGTTTATAAGATATTTCAGATAATTTAGCTTGTTATTGGGATGGCACGGATTGTTAAGATGTAACAACTTAAATATGTTCTGATGTTTAATCTTTTACTATGAATTATGCTGGATGTTATAAAATTAGTAATTAAGATTCTAAAAAATGTATGTATCAATTTTTTACTTCAAAATGTAAAATTCTAAAAGAAATAAATAATTGTTCTGATTTCACAACTAATATTGAATGTGCAACTAGAGCTAATGCCTCTTGTTTATTAGGAAATCCAATTGATACAGTTACTACTTGTACTTCAATTTCTAATACTTTTAATATTAATTTAAATTTATATGGATGCATGCAATTAACTACAAATGCTTATTATTATGATATTTATAATTATCAATGTAAATTACTTGATTAAGCCAATTATGAAAATGTTCAAGGATGCCGTTATTTAAATAAAAAAGCTTGTATTGAAATAACAAGTGTGATATTAAATATTAACTGTGGATGGATAGACAATGAATGTTAGCAATTAATTGATCTAACAAATTTAAATGATTGCAGTGTTTTAAATAAAAATAGTTGCATTAACATAGAAACTACAAATCTTGTATGTGAATGGAATATCGCAAGTAAATTATGTTCCCAATCAAATTAAAATGCTTGTTATGTACCTTCGTCAATTCCTACAAATCCAACAATTTTATATTCTTTAAGCTTGTGTAGTAAAGGATCAAATACTAATGGATGTATGTCTAATTCCTCAAATACTGGATGTGTTACATTTAATTATGAAATTGAAATTTGTGAAAATATGGGATTAAATAAAAAAGCCTGTTTAGAATATACTACTGGATACTGTAAATGGTAAAATAATTAATGTTAAAATTCTTAATTTGATAATTTAAATTGCAATTCTGAAGTTAATAAAAATACATGTCTAATTATTAATGATAATCTATGTGAATGGAATGATGCAAACAAAACTTGTTCCATGAAAACTTTAATTCAATGTACTGATGCTATTAATTATAATTAATGTATGAATGTACCTAATTAATTATGTGAATATACTGATTCATGTAAAAATGTGGAAAATATTCCTAAAATTTGCAAATCAGGTTATAATAAGCATAGCTGTCGAAACGTAACTCAACAAATATGTTAGTTTACTAATAACTAATGTTCAATTTTAACAACATTTGATCCTAGACAGGAATGTTCTAAATAATTAAATTCACAAAATTGTACTTTATCTCCATTTGGGTGTTTTTGGCAAACAAATACTTGTGTTTTCAAGGATTCTGCCTGTTATTAGAAATCAACTGAAAATACTGATTGTTACAGTTTCGAATATCCTTGCGGCTTAACAAAATGTACCCCAACAAAACCACTTTCATGTGTATAGTTTTATAATAGAATAGCTTGTTTAGATTCTGATTTTTTTTGTTATTGGGATAGTATTAAAGGATGTTTAAATTATTTAAATACATCTAATAGCATAGATTGTAAATCTATAAGCATATAAATAAACAAAAAAGTTTGTTAATACTATGCTCCTTTAGATTGTGAATATAGAGATTATGTTTGTACTCCAAATTTATCAGACATTTTTTATGAACTTAATCCTAATTATTAAGTAGAATCAAGTCCAATTTCTATTTAAACTAATTGTTCTGATAATTTATCAGAAATTGATTGTGTAACATCAACATAATTAAAATGTTATTGGAATATAACCTGCAAATCTACAGAAGATGAAACAATATCATGCTCCTCAAAATTAAATCTCTTAGCTTGTCAACATATAGGGTGTTTATGGAGATAGAGAAAATGTATTTCCAAAGATAATTACATTTTTTAGCCAAATCCTATGTTAGATGAATAAGTTACTGAATGTACAACACCATATATATCTAAAATAACTTGTTTAAATATATAAAATATATCTTGCACATATAATGAATTAAGTAATTAGTGTAGTAATGTCGTATTTGCTGATAATATAGAATGCTCTAATTATAAAATAGTCAATAAAAAAACTTGTTAAATGATTCCTACTAAATCTTGTACTTATGATTCTGAATCTAATTCTTGTTAAGATTTTAATGGAATAATTACTGATATAAGCCTATTATCAAAAGAAGCTTGTTTATCACTTAATTAAGCAGCATACTGGAATAATGGATGTTATTTAACTGATAGTTTTTAATGTGATTAAGTTTATGAGGTTACTGAAGCCACTTGTAGATTAGTAAAAACATCTTGTCTTTATAATAAAGAATTAAAAAAATGTACCTCTGAATTCAATATAAATTCTTTGTTTTGTAATTAACCAGGATTAAGTTAATAGGCTTGTACATCAATTTTAAAAGAGCCTTGCATTTTTATTAATGGTTAATGTTAATTATTATCATCTAATTATTTATGCGAATAAGCAAGGAATGTGAATGAATTAGCTTGTGCATCATTAAAGGATTCTTGTTATTACGACATACTAAATAAAAAATGCAAAACTGTAACTGATTAATAAGTCTGTTAAACTCCTGGACTCTCAAAATCTGCATGCTTATTAAATAAATCTTGTGTCTTTAATGAAGATTTTATGTAGTGCTAATGTAATATAGTAGCTAAACCAAGTTTCTGTGCGAATAAAGATTATATTTAATGTGTCGAATAAGAATTATGCATATTTGATAATAAATATAATTATTGTAGAAGAATGCGTTGTGAAGACTTAGGTTAATTGGAATGTTAAAAATCTAAACTTAATATGGTCTGCTTTTTGAATAATAATGTTTGCCAAAGTGCAAATAAATGCGAAGATATTGTCAATATTGATCATTCAATATGTAGCTCCATTGTTTTTGAATCTGGAGAAAAATGTATTGGTATTAATTCTAGATGTTTGAATGAAAAAAATTACGATCTTTTTTGTTAATTATCAGATTGTTCAAATAAACATTGCAAAAAAACAAATATTTGTGAAGCTAAAAAATGTTCAGATTTAACTGATTGTACTTAATTAGGAAATAAATGTGTAATGTCAGGAGATTAATGTGTAGATAATATAAGTTGTTAATAATTAAGCTCAGCTTAATGTGCTCAAGTTTAATTATATAACTCTTAAAAATGTATGATTTAATAATAGAATATTTATCAGGATGAATTAATTTGTACATCTTAAGTATGTGCTCTTTATGGATCTTCTATCCTCTGTACTGGAAATCAATTTAATAATTTTACTTGTTTATTAAAAGATTCTTAATGTTTACCATGTGAATTTATTAAAGATCCTTGTACGTGTTCATAAGCAACTAATATTTGCTCTTGGGTAAAAGACTCCTGCATTTCTATATCTTGCTCTTCTTTTTCAACAATTGAAACTTGTAATGAAATCACTAGATGTTCTTGGAGTACCTATTATGATAGTTGTCAACTAAACTGTCATTTAATAATATCTTAAATAGATTGTAATGTTAGATAAAATGAATGCTATTATGATTTAGCAAATAATCTTTGCCAAATTGGAACTTATCAATCACCAGATTTAAGTGTTAAAGTTAACCTAGTCACATCAACTGAATTAATAATTGTTGCAGAAATGTTGATGCTATATTTTATTTGATAATTCATTTATTAATATAAAATTTATTCATTCAGAATATTTTTTAACAACAGTATTTAAAAAATTAAATATTTAAGCAACATTTAAAATCAAAAGGATAATAAAGCATCAGAATTCCGGCTAAAGTAAATGGAATTATTACTATCAATTTTCATATTTTCAAAAATTAATTTTATCTTTGTCCTTTAATAAATAAAAATTTTTATCTTACTTTCCCTTTAACTTAATGCTTTGCTTTAAAACAAATTTATATTTTTGAGTTTCAATTTATTTATAATCATATTTAAGACTCAATATAATAAATAAAGTAAAAAATAATTATTTAATTTTTTTTTAGAATGAAACGTAATTATAATTTAAAATATTCCATTCCTATTTCAAATTTCTAGTTTATATCTTTTTAAGTTTAAAAATACAAATAAATATATGAATTAATCTGATAATATTTTACAAAAACTTATCAGAAATTATCTAGACTAATTTCATAAGATATTTATTTTTAAAATTACTGCTCTCATTTTAAGATCAAATTTTTTATAAGTTTATTTAAAATTACTTTGATAATAATTGACCAATATTTGTAAATAAGTTTCTAAATGGAAAATAAAGAAATATTAAGGCAGTATATTTATTACCAATGAGTTATTAATTTATAGTTTAAATAGTATTTTCATTAGAATAATAAACAAAGGTTAAGAAAAAAAGGCAAATAGTCATAATTCTTAAGTTAAGATTTTATAATTCTATATTTATAGCTAAGCATTTGATTTTTTTTTTGATTAATATATCAATAATTATTAAGAATGGATCCTAATAAATTCATAAAATATTAACCATATTAAATGACTGATTCAGTTAAAGCAGGAGGATTATTTAGTCCTGAATAATGTGAATAACTTGCTAAAAAAATTCTTAGTTTATATGATGAAAATAAAGATGGATAACTCGATTTATTGGATGTAAGTTAAATGTAGTAGGATTGCTATAGAGCTATGAACAAGAATTATAACCCAACACCAACTGACATAGCAGCTTTTACAAGAAAAATGGATAGTATTAATTTAAGAGATTTTCTAGCATTCGGCTAAGGGAGGGTTGATGAAAAAATGATACGTTCTTTATGTATAAAAAATCTTTCTACTATGGTTTCAAGCAATAATTCTGAAATAAAAATTGAAAAACCTCTTTAAGAATTAAATGTACAAATTTAACCATCACTTCCATCTGATTAGGTTGAAATCTAATTAGAGTCATCGAATTAAGAAAGTAAACAAAATTTATATATTGAAAGCCTAAATAGAAGTTAAATAGGAAGCTCCGAAAGTAGAACAAAAATAAATATTTATTAAACAATAATAAGAAATCTCAATTCCTTTACCTGTTTAGAAAACTGTTTAAGAATAACCAAAATAAGTTGTTTAGAGCCCAATAAATGTCGAAAAAACTAATCCAGAGCCTAAATATTCTAAGATTGTCTAAGATCGATTAAAAGTGGCAAGGAGAATCTTTACTTTTATAGACACTGATAAAAGTGGTTTTATAACAGAAGCGTACTTAATTATTTGAAAATAGAGAAGTACCTAGTTTGTTAATTGAAACTTACAAGTAAATGGGAATGACAATTGAACCAACACAAGAGGATGTTGAATTATGGATGGAAATGGCTGATACAGATAAAGATGGAAAAGTTACATTAGTAGATTATGAAGATCTTATAATTAAAGGATTAAGACAGTAAGGAATAACTTTGGAATGAAATTTTATATTTCCTTAAGTTAAAATAAGTTTATTTCTTTTTTATATTATTCTATAATAAATTATAATGTGATACTATTTTAAGTATTAAATAATATTTTCTAAGTTCATAATATTTAATTATTAATTCATTTTTTAAATAGAGTATCTTGAATTCTAGATAAAAAAGATTTTCTAGCTTTTATTTATTCTGGAGCAGCACGTCTGATTGTTTACTCTATAGACGAAATGATGGAATTGTTTTTGTCTCTTAAAAATTTGGATATATATGATTATTCTATTTATTATTCATGATTTTATGGAATTTTTGATAAATTTTATTCGTAATCTGAAACTAAAGTTTTAAGATTCTATTTGATAATATCTAAATATATACCATCAATTCACCTTCATTGTGCAAAGATTTTTATTTGATGATTTATTGCATTGAAACTCTTATTTTTTATTCGATATCTTAAGTGCCTTAGACCAGTAAACGAGCAGAATTAACTCCTTCTAAATGTTCTTGCTCTTTAGATATATCAGACATAATCTTCATAATATTTGAATTTTTCTTAATTCTTTAATTTGTATACTTTTAAAACCTTAATAATTTTTTTCCAACAAAAATATCAGATTAACAAATTTTATCTAATTCTTCTTAAGAAGATACTTGCTATTTTACAGATTTTAAAGATTTAATCTAAATTGCATTGTCAAAGGAAGAGAGTACTTTTTACTAATAATAGAGATCTAATTCCTTTTTTGCTTTTAAAGATGAAAATGATTCAATTTCTCTTTAAGGGAATCTCTTTAAAAGATCATCAAAGTCTGATGTAAATTTAAAAGACTTAGTTTTTACATGATTTGTATTAAAAGTTGTTCTTTGAGAATGCTTAGGTGACAAATTCCCACTAGTTAATTTACTATTTCTAACCTCATCCAAAGAATTGAATGTTCTGCATTTCTCATGTTAACGAGGTGTATGAATATTTGATTAAATTGTAGTTTCCTATTCTGTAAGTGGAAATAAATTTTTTTTTTAATTAGTATTATCCTCTGATTATTAAAAGATGGAATATAGTGATGTATTTATATCTTTATTAAATTTCTAATAAAACCTGACATTTGTATCTGCCCAAAAATCATTTTTTTATGCTGCATCATATTTTTTGTTAGATTAAGGAAATATAGGAGCTAGTAGTTAATTAATTTCCTTTATTTCTATCATAAATGTTTTATACTATAAGTATAATAAATTATCATACTTAATTTTAATTCAAATGGTATTATTGTTCTAAAAACATTTTTAATCCGTTATTATCAACTAATTTTGATAACTAAAGAGCTATTTTATAAGTTTCTAATAATTTATTATAGTCTGACTGAAATTCATATATGAAAGTCATTATGTAAAGGGTTACTATTATCCAAGATATCACTTTTTAATATTTGTCAGAGAGTTTCTTAAGGTGAAAATCTTATTTAATAATATCAGTCATAATCATTTAACATTCTCCAATAGCTTCTTTATAAAAAAAAAGTGCAGAATCAAATATTTTAAATTAGAAATGTAGATGTCCCACTTATAAATAATATTAAAACTATGTTTTATTGAAACGAGAATCTTTAAAGTATACTTCAGGCCTCCAAAATAATATTGATCGAACATCTTCATGAAGTTTGGATAACTAAAATATTAAGAGTTAGATTTAAGATATTCGATAAAGTATGTCTTTAAGATAAAATATTTCTATTGATAGTATATAGCCTAATACTTAATTCATTTGCTTAATTTTCAAGTAGTTCAAAGTAAAACATAATAAATTGCTAGAGCTTTCTCAATAAATGTAATTATTTATCATGTTTAAGTCCATCCCTTGATTATGATTTAAGAATTTTGATAAGACAGACAATTCCCCTTCTTAGTAATTGCAAACGAATACGCCATCCTGTTTGTATAATTAATGATCTTTCAAATTCTTTGTTGATGAGTTAAAATGCAACCTTATACTTGCCAGAACCTAGAGATTTTGATATAGAATACGTAATTTTGAAGTGATTTCAACGATTTAGTTTTGGAAATGGTTTTCTTACATGCTTGTTAACTGCTTTGTATTACTCCTCATTATTTTAAATAATAATCATTTATAATCTTGACGTACTGTATTAAAAATTTATTTAATTGATTGAACTCAATATATTAATACGTTCTTATAATGGTTTCTATTATGTTTTTTCAATTTAAGCTATATTAAAAGTCTTTTGTTGATTTTTGGATTTACTAATTATTTAACTTAGGATTTTGTTTTTGTATTTAAATCAAATGTTTCCATTTTCAAAAGCTCTGCTCAACACATAATTGTTTTGTTTTAAAGATTCTTTATAAATCTAGGTAATTGCTTTTTGATTTTGGATAAGAATATTTAATAATTTCAAGTTACTTACACAGTTTTATTGGATACTCTAAATATGATAGTGTTTTAAATTTTCATCCATTTTTAATGTCGATTCTTAATGATTACTTATCTCAAGCTTTCATCTTATTATAGATTGCTTTTGAAATGTATTATAATTGTATGAGATGCCTAATATTCCATCTTCATTTAATATATGTATTTTATAAATAATTATTTTGAAAATATACCTTATTCATATTATAAATAAATGCTTAAATCATATTTGCTTGAATACTTAAACCTTAATTTAGTAATGAATTTTTCAATTCTTTATAATAATTGTAGGTAATTTTAATTTTAAATCTAAATTACAGTCCTTTCTGCTCTTTTATTTAAGAAATTATTTAGTTTCTTAAATGTTGTTTTCAGTGTTTCAAACTTAGAGATGCTCGTTCATTATTATTTCCAAAATATAATATTTAATAAACTATTGGAGAGTGAATAGGCCAAAATGCCAATAATAATTATTTTGGTAAAAAATAATTAATAAGTTTTCATATTAATTCTTTTAGAGATTAGTTTTATAGAACTCATTTTGAAAGAAACAATGCATCAGCTATTATTCTAAAAGGCTAAATATCAACTTATTTCAATTTTTAAATTTTAATAACTAAAAAGCAATATAAAATTTGAGTCTCTGTTATTCTATATACCTTTTGATACTATTTAACTAACCCAGAATCTATTTTCAAATTATATATTGTCTGGAAAATTGATTCTTAATTTTAAATCTCTAGTGCCTCTTTTTATGTTTATGTAATTCAATCAATAATAAGTATTCTTTTTTGCTGAATGATTAATAAATAACTAAATGAATTAAAATTTAAGGTGATCTTAGAACTAAATCTAAATAAATAAAAATGTTTTCTATATATCTTAATTTCTCATCTCATAGATCTTTTTAAGGTAGAATTACCAATTATTTTGTTGGCAAATAGAAATATAATGAAGTAGAAAAGTTTTAGAACAAAAATCAATTTTTAAACAATTCAATGTATAATTAGAGTTTAATAGGATTAATAATCTTGATAAGTATTTAAGAAGTTTAATAAAAATTAATTAAAATGGTTTCACTGATCAAAAGTAGACATTTCTATAAAAATAGCACATTATTATTTTATTATTTACTATATTACTTTGTAAATTAAATGTGCCATATTATTGTAGTAATGAAGATATCTATATTTGCATTTAATATTTCTATCGACTTTATTGAATTTTAAGTTTTNTATAATTGTATGAGATGCCTAATATTCCATCTTCATTTAATATATGTATTTTATAAATAATTATTTTGAAAATATACCTTATTCATATTATAAATAAATGCTTAAATCATATTTGCTTGAATACTTAAACCTTAATTTAGTAATGAATTTTTCAATTCTTTATAATAATTGTAGGTAATTTTAATTTTAAATCTAAATTACAGTCCTTTCTGCTCTTTTATTTAAGAAATTATTTAGTTTCTTAAATGTTGTTTTCAGTGTTTCAAACTTAGAGATGCTCGTTCATTATTATTTCCAAAATATAATATTTAATAAACTATTGGAGAGTGAATAGGCCAAAATGCCAATAATAATTATTTTGGTAAAAAATAATTAATAAGTTTTCATATTAATTCTTTTAGAGATTAGTTTTATAGAACTCATTTTGAAAGAAACAATGCATCAGCTATTATTCTAAAAGGCTAAATATCAACTTATTTCAATTTTTAAATTTTAATAACTAAAAAGCAATATAAAATTTGAGTCTCTGTTATTCTATATACCTTTTGATACTATTTAACTAACCCAGAATCTATTTTCAAATTATATATTGTCTGGAAAATTGATTCTTAATTTTAAATCTCTAGTGCCTCTTTTTATGTTTATGTAATTCAATCAATAATAAGTATTCTTTTTTGCTGAATGATTAATAAATAACTAAATGAATTAAAATTTAAGGTGATCTTAGAACTAAATCTAAATAAATAAAAATGTTTTCTATATATCTTAATTTCTCATCTCATAGATCTTTTTAAGGTAGAATTACCAATTATTTTGTTGGCAAATAGAAATATAATGAAGTAGAAAAGTTTTAGAACAAAAATCAATTTTTAAACAATTCAATGTATAATTAGAGTTTAATAGGATTAATAATCTTGATAAGTATTTAAGAAGTTTAATAAAAATTAATTAAAATGGTTTCACTGATCAAAAGTAGACATTTCTATAAAAATAGCACATTATTATTTTATTATTTACTATATTACTTTGTAAATTAAATGTGCCATATTATTGTAGTAATGAAGATATCTATATTTGCATTTAATATTTCTATCGACTTTATTGAATTTTAAGTTTTTAATAAATTTTAATGTAATCGATCCGTGCATAGCGAATGAAAAAAATAATGTAAGTCCAAGGAGAAGTTGGACAACATAAAGGATATACAGCTATAAAAATAGCTGGAAACGCTCATGAATTAATAAGGAAAAGTAAATCAGCTGCTAATAATATTGGTGAATTAGCAAAACAAGATGTTACTAAGAAACTGTTGCAAGATTAATTCAATTCAATAAAAAGTTATGACATAGCAAAAGGTGAAGAAAAACCTGGTTAATAATTTAAGTCAATGCATAGTATGTACGACTTATAAACTTTAAAGATTACAAAATTGTATAAAAAAAAGGAAAGGAATGAACTTGAGAAATAAATTAGAAGTCAATTAGCAAAAGATCCAGATAAACAACTTTTATTATCAGAGATATATGAATAATTAGAAGATAATTCAGATGGAGAAGTTCTAAAAAAGAAAGAAAAAATTAAGGAAGAATCTCTAGCTACTTAATAATAAGAGTATGATGAATCATAAGATTAAACTGCAGATCTTAAATTATGGACAAAAAGATTGAAAGAATAAAAGAAAAAAGAAGAGAGTAAATAAGATGACAGTAGTACTCTGAATTTAATTCCATAAAGAAATAAATAAAGAGCATCAACTGAAATAAAGAAACAAATATAGCATTAATAATCAATAAAGTAATTACCTCTTGAAAGACAAAATTCATCATAAAATTCAGTTCCTTCATAAAATACGCCTAGATCTTATAAAGATATTATGAAGAATGCAGTTTAGAAAGTTAAATAATTAAAGAGTTTAAATGAAGATATAAGTGTAGAACGTTCAGTAGAATAATATATTTAAAAAGCATCAGCAGTAGCTTTAAGTGAATTAAAGGAAATTGGAGAGCTTAATGTTGATGAAGAAAAAGGATTGACAACTAATTTTGATTTTACAAATGAAGGAGTACAAAGAATGTATAATACTTTGGTAAAAGTTTAGATGTCTCAGTTTAAATCAGAAGCTGAAAAAGCTAAATTTTATAAAAAATAAACATAACTCATAGCTAATAAATTGATCTTTAAAATTAAATAAAATGATATTATAATTGATGCAAGAGTTACAACTCAAGAAAAATTAAGATTAGAAACACATGAATTTCATGAAAAAATTGTATAAATTAAATAATTAACAGAATAATTACTTAAAGAAATTAATGATTTAAAAGATCCTAAAATTTAAGGTAATCTCTAATTGAGTAAATCAAGAATGTCATTAGTAAATTAATTTATGAGTTAATAAAATAAATAAAAAGAAATTGATTAAGACATTTTAATTCTCAAAGAAAGTAAAAAGGCATATAAACAAAAAATTATATTTAACAAAAAGACTTTAGATTAGATTGATTAAGATATTCATACTAAAAAGAAAGAAAATAAATCATTATAAAAGTGTTTAGTAAGTTTTTATTTTTAAGTTTTAAAAAATGGATAGGATGTTAGAACAACTGGAATTGCATGGGTAATTTCAAAGTTAAATTCCTTAGGTGAAAAATGCCATTATTCATTTATGCCTGACTATTTGGATTAAAAAGCTAAGGAATATTTACTATAAGTATTTATTATATTTGTTATATAAGAAAGCAATTATGTTATCAGATATAGATCAATTAGAAAAAGAGCTTAGTGAATCTTTTAAGCAATACAAATAAGAACAATCTCTAGACAATAGTTTGGCTATTATACAATAGAGTTTATCTTAAAATGATTCCTTAGAAGTTTCATCTTTACCTTCAATCTTTCCTTATGATAGTCATAAATTATCTTCAATTGATTTATAGCAAGCACGATAAGAGGCTGCTAAGACTTGTAGAAATAATTATTAATTGGAAAAATTGGGACCAATTACCTAAGGATTGACTAATGAAGATATCGAAAATTTGGAAAATATGTTAACAAAGCTTAATTAAAAAAATTAACCAGTTACAAATGGCACATTAATTTATAAAGAAATTTAGAAAAGAATTAAATAGTAAATCAAATAGAAAGGTTAAATGGAAGTCTCTCAAATTAATGATTAGTCTGCAGTTTTAAAAGAGTAAGCAATTCATTCTTATGACAAAAACAATACATAATTAAATAAAATTAAATTAAAAGTATCATTTTAAATGATTATAAGCTCCAACATCTTGAAGACGAATAAGTAATAAGAGTAGTAAAAGAATTTGATTATAAGAATTATGGTAAAAGATTCAGTATAGATCCAATTACAGTGATTTCATGCCTTGTTGGAGGAGCTCGATGTGATAGAGAAATTGTTAAATATGGAATGAAAAAAATCCATTATGAATGAAATAGTATACTAATATTTATTGTTTTAAACATCAATAATTTTCTTTACTTATTTATACATATTTTGGTTTTGTATCTGATCTACTAGTATTAAATTATTAAGATTTTGAAAATTACTGTTGCGGTAATTTATTTAATGGCTAATATGAATATAATTATTACAAGATAAATAATATTCTATCTAATTGGAGATTTATCAAATTGATTGGATTATCTTATAGGTGATTTTACATTATGTAAATGATTTTTATAGAATGGTATCATATTATAAATTTTATCTCTATATTTGTCAATAAAGTCCTTAAGCATTTGCCAAGAAGGTCTCTCTTATTCATCCAACAGTAATAACTATTTAACAAATTCAATCAAAATTTAAGAGTACCCCATTTACTTAATCCGAATAAACTTTTATTCTAATTAATCAGTTAACACAATTCCATCGACATAATCAAAACAATCATAGACTTCTTCCATTAGGATTACACTTAAAACTGTCAACCCTAATGAATATATGTCACTCTTATATGGATCATGAATAGGCTACATAATTAATTCTTTATATTATTTCAAAAGAGTAGGAGATAGATAGGATTTGTCTAAACTTTGTATCATTTTTTAATATCCATTAATTCCATCATTAAACATATCACATTCAGATAATTTTATGCATCCATTCTCATCTAAATAAATTGTAGAAGGTTTAATATCTCCATGAAAAACATTTTTTTCACATAAATATGTGCAAGGGTCAATAATTTATTATAATAAAATCCAAATATGCCCTTCATTGTAAGGCTTATTATTTAGCTTTCTTATACTCATTTCATTTGTTAAATTTTCTTAATAATATTAAATAATAATGACAATAGAACTCTAGTCTGAACAAACTTTTATTTGATCTTATTTGTGAACTGCAAGTATTTTTAGTAAATTGTTTTATTCAAATGAGTTTCTTTTTTTGAGATGAGCCACAAGATTGGATAATTCTTTATCACATTTAGTGAAATATCTCTTAAGACAGATTTATTCGTTCATCTATTTGTTAAGATGATTTTACTTAAATGTGTGTAAATAATTTAATAACTCCAAATTAAGGATGTATGGTCTCTCTTTCTTGGGAGTATTACAATAGAAATTATTTATACTCTTAGGCTTTTTGATTAGTACTTTATTCTTATCCCATTAACGATAAAAAATTATTAATAAAATCAAATTCCATAAATTCTCTCTAGATTTTTATTTTTGGAAAACTTGTTGTTTGATCTTAGAAGTTTACTATTAAAATATCATAACTTTTTTTTTTGATGATGCTTCTTTTTCTCAAAGTATCTTTGGTAATTCTTCAGTTACAAAAGCAATAATTTCCATTAGCAGATTTAATGATTTAATTCAATATGAAATCAAAAGATTCTAAATATAAAAGATGACAATACTTTAAATTATTCAGTACTTGTATCCTTTTCATATTTTTGAATTTATTCTTAGATCCACTCTTTTGTTGATATCGATGTCTTCTAATTCTGTTTTTAATTTCACACAGCATCTAGTTCTTTTAATTATTAGAAGATGACATTATATCTTTAATTTAATCTATTTACTAATTTAATTATTTTATCTCTTTATTTCAATAATAATTTTTTGTATTTATCTATGAAAGCTTTTTTCTCAATTTCTCTTCGTATTTAATCGTCTGTTTTATTTAAGATCATTTTAAATATAAGAAATATTCTCTATTTTCTATACTCCTATTAGTATTTCAGCAATGCAGAAATCTTTTTTCTAATTATTTACTCATTTTTCTTTCTTAAACAAGATTTCCATATCATTATTTCTATCTCTTCAATTTATTCAACAGTGATAATAAAAAAAACATGGGTTAGAGATGATGTATCATTAATTTATGTACTTGTTTTTTCCTTTTTGAATTTTCTTTGGGGAGAAGAATTGATAATTAAGTACTAATGAAAAAATTTACTCATCGATTCATTGTAAATTTTTTAAAATGATGCTCTCGCCATAAAAATAATCATTGAATTATATATATATGTGTAAAAATTTTATGTAATGATTGGTTTTATATCTAAATAATTTAAATTAGAAGTGAAAGAGAATCAATGATTTGCATAAGTTTTTTAAGTTATGTTATTGAAGATTTAGTGGAAAAGAAGTTTTCTTAAGAGGATTTTAAAGCGTCTTGTGTATATTTTGATGACATAATTGAAAAATTAGATGTTATTATTTAAGTGAAAATAAAATGAATATGAGTACAAAAACAATGAAATCTTTCTAATAAAGCCATCACAAACATTAACTACTATCCGATGTATTCTCTGATATCAACTTCTATAAATATCGTAGTCAGTCCAATACTGATTAATATACTCCAATTAAGGGATTTCAGATTGTTAAATTAAGAGGTCCTTCTCGATTATCAGTTTAATAGTCTTAATAATCTTTAAAGACTGTTAAGAGCATTAAAAAACGAAATAACTCTCAAAGTAGTGTTAAATTTGATCTCTTTAAACATGTTATGGAAATGGATGATAGTGAAATGCATGATAAAATAATGAATCTTTTTGAAATCGACATAAAAATGCGTAAGAACTTAGAAATCAACAGAATGATAGTTTAGGATAAATAATAATCATCAGCATAATTGGACGAAATTTATTAAGAGATTTTATTAATGTTAGGTAACACTATAGAGAGAATACATCAATATATAAATGCAAATAATCTCGAACGTTCAAACTTAAAAAAGGCACATCGAAGAACTGCAATTGAAATAGAACATTAGATGTAAGAATTAATAAATATGATATTAACTGCTATTGCTAAAAGAGATATGAGTTTAGCAAGATTAATAGAGAATGCTTGGAAATTAGTTTGTATAGCAATAGAGATGATATTACAAAATGGAAAAGCAGAATAAGAATATATTCAATAAGAAGTATTAAATGAATTATAAAAAGAAGTTGTGCAATTAAAATAAGAAAATGAAGATATTTATCATAAATATATGGAGGTCTCTGAATTAAATAATAAATTAACTTCATAACATAAATAAGAAATAAACGTTCTAACTTATTAATTAAATATGGCTAAGGTTGAGTTCAATGATTATAAATAAAATCAAGAAGCTTTGAGTACTTTAGAAAATGCTACTGGTAGTCTTAAAGATGTGGAACTCAATCTCAAGGATACTCATAAAATACTCAATAAAATTGAAGAAAATATTAGCAATCGAGATACTTAATTATATTAGACATTAAAGTCTGTCGTTTAATAACATAAAATGGATAAAGATAGCTAAATGAATAAGGCATAAAAACTCATTAATAGATACTAATTAAAATCCTTAAATACCAAACAATGTATTATAGCTTCTGAATATTTCAATCATCCTTTTGTTTAGCATTTGGATATCAATTTCGAATCAAATTAATTTGATGAAAAATACATTTAATCATTACTTATTGATTGGTTTAATTAGGAATGTGTGAAACCTTAATTTGGTACTCATCCAGCTTAATAGAGATTAGAATAAATAAGTTCATATGAGAGAAGAAGCAATCCTGAAAGTTTTATTAATTTTTTAATAAAAAATGAGAATTTTAATTAATTATAGAATTGTATTGCTTATATAAGTCAGAATTTAGAAATGAATGATCTAAATTAATTAAACAAAGTAGAAAAGTTTAATAGATAATTGTGTATATTTTTTGGTGTTATTTTTTAATTTGAAATAAGCAATATTGAAATTGATTTGTTAACTTATGATAGGATTAGATTTTTGTATTCAGGTCTTATGTAAGCAAATTAAGAAGAACAAATATAAAATTAAAATAAATTCCAATGGTACAATTTTGTTGTTTAAAATCTAAGTGAATTATGTGTTTCAATTTTTTAGGATTATTCAGAAAAAGCAGTCAACTCATAATAAACAATTGTATAAATTCTAATATTAATTTTATAAAATGAAAGTGATAAGAGAAAGCATCAATTAAAAAAATTAATAGAAGATTTTAAGACTGTAGATAATGAGTTAAATTTATAAAGAGAAAGAATGTAAAAATTTGTTTAAGGATTCTGCTCTTTCTATAATTATCAATATAATGAATTACAAGTAATGCAATATGCTTAAGCTTTATTTGATCGTTATATTAGAGTATATTAGACAGGAAGAAAGAGAAATGGTCTAGAAATTGGGGAGTGGATAAATTTCATTTAAGAATTATGGTAAATATTAAATAAAATGATTTAACTTAAACCCCATCTGCATCATCAGATTTTTATGCTTGAAGATCTTTAATATATTAATAAAGAATTTTAAGCACATACTCGAAATTCATAGATTGAAAGACGGGAATCATAAATCAGAAAAAAATGAATAACTATTTAATCCATCAAATATTATAATATTAATTTCATTTACTTTTTTTAAATGTCTTATAACGGAAATAATAATAATATCCACCAGTTATTAGACTCACTAAAATGGCTATTCCACTTGAGAATAAAATTATCGGGAAACTATCATTTTATTTTAATTATTTTATCTGAAGTTCAGAATACCCATAAGGCCTTCAAATAATTAGATAAATTACTAAGAATGCAAAATATGTACAAGTTTCTATATCAATGCCCAAAACTAAATATTTTCATCAAAAAAAGTAATAGGAATAAGTTATGCTGTTTAGAAATCACAAGAACGTTCAATTATTAAGAAATCAACTACACTTAATCTTCTTTTCTCAATTTATTATTTGGCTTACAATTCATCATAAATGCTAATCACATAAGTTTTAGAATTTATTGTTGTAATTCTGGGTGATAAATTATTAAATTAATCTTCTAAGATTTTCTAAATAAAATAAAGGGCTTGATACTTTTTTATTTTTAGTAATAATAGCAAAATGAAAAACTTATCTTTCAGTGATTTTTTAAACAGAACTCCAAGAATCCTTTTTATTTTTTTCTATGAAAGCCTCAGACATTTTGATATCAATTCCAATGTAATTTATTAATTTATATGCATCTTTGTAATTAAAGAAAGAGAAGGCACTAAAAATAATAGTATTAATATAGAGTACTTCCATAAAGATAGCCATAAAGTTAGAGTAATGTTTTGTTATTAAGGATGATATTATTATAAAAGTGGAAAACTAGTTTAATACATAACAGGATAGAATATATTATCAAATTAAGATTGAGTGAGAATTTAACCCTGTTATTCGAAAATAGATTAAAGTTATTATAGAGCAATTTCACTAAGTTCAACTGTTTATCCAGCTTCTTCATCGAAAATAATTCTAAAATTTGTAATAAATTATTTACTCATCTTAAAATAAACTTTCATCAAGTGTTAAATCATCTTAATAATGAAAAAAACGAAGGATAGTCCAACAGATTTAAATTTTCATTAATTCAATTCCTCTTTTTTGTAAAGCCATAAAACCTTGAAGAGAAATAAATTTTTTTTTATTAGAACCATCTTTCAATTCTTCTTCAATCATATCTTTAATGCCTGCAATATCATTTTAATCTAAATGCCTTTTAAAAACTTTTTTTTAAAACTGTTCTAATTCTTGATCACTCCACACACCATCTCCATCTCGATCACAAATACGAAAAATACGAGTCAATGCTTTTTTGAATCCTTCTGTAATTGCTTTGTTTACTATATTATATAAAGGAGCTAATGGGTATAAATAAGATCTTTAGGCACTATTAATTACATCCAAAACACCCTAAAATTTGATTGATGAACATTCTATTCCAATTTCAACTTACTATATTATATAGATGTATTACACTGAAATCCTTAACCAATTCTTTAATGACTTTAAAAATTCTACAATAATCTCTATCTTCCTTTAGATCCATAAGATCAAGTTTATTACCTACTATAATAATTGGTTATTTAAGCTCCTTCTCTTTCAATTCTTTAAGCCAAAATTTTTGTAATCTTTCACATGAATCATTATTATCTATTGAATACATTAAAAGTATGATATCTGCAATTTTAACTTATTCTGGAATTTGATTAGCTTTACATCTTGTATCAATCAAAGTTGTATTACATTCTGGATTATTAAACATTTCTGGAGGTAATTAAACAGGTTAATATTGTTCAATATTAGTCTGCTTATTTAAATTCTCATTAATCAGAGATGAAACAAATGTTGATTTACCCACTCCACCTAAATAATTTCATATTTTTATACTATCTCCAATTAAGACCACTTTGAAATCTCTTTTCTTCATTTTAGTAATTATCCAAAATTATATATTTTAAATATATGAATTTAGAATACCCATGGGATGTATAGAAAATTAAATTCAAGAACATTTAGGTTTTTAGAAGTCATTAAAAAGATGTAATAGTGTAAAATTACTTAGAAATATATATTAATTGGCAATCATACTCTAACATAATAATTTTGCATTCTATATCTAAACATTCAAAAAGGACCGGATCTTTATTAAAAAGAACTTAAATAATATATTTATGAAGAAGAACGATCTTTTGAAAGTTTGGAGGATGCAAAATAATATTTAAATAAATATAATATGACATATCTTTATACAGTATCAGGAATAATTGGGTTTATAAAGTTTGTGTAAGGATATTATGTAATGTTCATAAAGAGACGTAAATCAATAGCTAAATTGGGAAAACATAAGATCTTTACAATAGAAGAACGATCAATAGTGGAACTATTTGATGGACAATATTCATAAGTAGAATCAAAATATAAAAAATTATTCTAAGATTACGATTTAGAAATAGGATTTTATAGTAGTTATACTTATGATGTAACAAGTACACTCTCAAAAAATATAATTCCTTCAGATGATGTTCAGAACAAAAATTAAAAACATCATAAAATAGGATAATATCGAAATTTATTTATGTGGAATCATTATCTTTTAACAGAGTTTGATAAAATCATAAAAGATAAAAGATGGGTGATTCCAATAATTCATGGTTATTGTGAATAAAGTACAATAAAAACAGTTGCTAATTATTTTAGTATAACTTTATTAGCTCGAAGATCAATAAAACATGCAGGTGCTCGTTATTTAACAAGAGGTATAAATGAATAAGGTTATGTTGCAAATTTTGTAGAGACAGAATAAATAGTTATAGAATTAGATAAATCAACATGTTAAAGACCTGCTTGTTCTTCATTTATATAAATAAGAGGTTCTGCTCCTGTTTATTGGTATTAAGAACCAAAAATGTATTTATTTAAATTACCAATAAAAATACATCAAAGTGATCCTTATTTATATGCTACTAAGAAACATATATGTGATTTGATTTCCTCATATGGTAGATCAATATATATGGTTAATTTGGTTAAATAGAATGAACATAATAAAAGAGAACAAGTACTTGCTGAAGAATATTTTGCAGCTATTAATACTGTTAAGGAAGAAATGTAGAATTAAACAGAAATAGAATTAGGATATTTAGGTTTTGATATGAAAGCATAACTAAAATAAGATAAGGAAGAATTTGTTAATAAATGTTATTCATTAGCATATTATTGTATTATGAAAACTGGAGTATTTCTATTTGTAAAAGAACCTAAATGTAATGAAAATGTTATTATTGAAATATAAAATGGAGTTGTTAGATCAAATTGTGTAGATTGTTTAGATCGAACAAATGCATTTTAACAATTAATTGGTGAAATGGCACTTGGTATTTAATTAGCTAAAATTAATCAAAGTAGTTTAAAATTTAATTTACTTTTATTAAATGAATCTATTTTATAAGAGTTTAGAGAGATGTATGAATAATTAGGTGATTTTGTATCATAATAATATGGTAGTTCTTTGGCTCATAAATAAAACATAGGTTAAAAATCTAAAAGAATAGAATTGTTTACATCACTTAAAAGACATTATAATAATAATATAGAAGATCCTTAAAAACAGAACTAAATAGATTTATTTTTAGGAATACATCGTCCTATTCCTGATGGACCGTTTATAGGTGAATATATGAATATATGGTTATTTCCAGATACTAAATATTTATAATAATATACTTAACATAAATAATGGTGGGTTAATCCTTATTTAGAATTTCAGTAGAAATCTTTAATTGATGAAATAAGTAGAAGATGTAAAGAAGCTTGTTAATCAGCTAAGAAAGATTAAAAAGCTAAAATTTAAAGAAAATAAACAACAATATTTAATTTTGATATCATTGAAAAAATGAAATATAAAACAAATTAAAAATAAAAAGGTAAAAATGTTTTTATTTTATCCTCACCTTATACAAAAGTTAGAGATAAACATCCAGATTATGTATCAAAGCCATTTAATTTAGAAGAAAAACTTAAGAAACCTTATTATGATGTGATTTAAATTTATGAAACAGAATAAAAAAATGATTCTCCATGTGGATCACATTAATCTTCACCAAAATAAAATCCTTAAAATTAAAGAACTAGATTCTCACTTTTAAAAGGAGATGAAATTCTTGAAATCCAAAAATATACTAGAATAAAAACATTTGAAGAATTAACGGATGAAGCAAATCAAATAAGAAAATATTTAAAATATAATTTATCTTCAGATGATGAAGAAAAACTAAGAAGTAATTTAAAGAGATATTTAAATGGTGAATAATCCAAAGAATTAATAGTTCCAACAGATAAGAATACAGATATTTAAAAATAATAATATAGTGAAGTGAAATAATCTATTGCTCATTCAGAGACAGTTTAAGGTGTATCAACATAGTAAGCTAAAAAGATACCAGTTGAATAGAAATCTGTAAAATTTTTAGAATCCTTGTTAAAAAAGAATTTTGCTTAATCACAGAAGCTAAAAATAAATAAAATATGAATAATATGTTTATAAAATACAACGAACTTACTCCAAAGACTTAAACCAGTCTCAATAGTCCTGTTCGAAAGTAATGAGAGTTTCCTATGATAGTAATACACAGCCGATTTTTGTAACATCTCCAAAAAAAAAACTAGGTAGCATCAAAGAAATCACTAATAAATAATAAGAATTGAATAAGCTTCTTAATTAACATGTTGATATCTAAACTTAATCTGCTAACACATCAATCCATTCCTTTGATTGTATGATGGCTCTATCTAAATTTAAAAGAAAACAAATATAAACTGATATAAGTTCAAAATTAATATCCTTAGATGATGAAATTGTTGAAGTCTATAATGAATTTGAGAAGAATTATAAATAAATCAATGATCTAGATAAATTATAATAAATTAGATAAACTACTAATTAATCTATTGATATCAATAGAAAAAGTATCAGTAATTTAATTTAAACACATGATGGTCTAATCTAATCAGATCTAAAGTTTGGAAATATGAACAGAATAAGAATTAATAGATTTAAATTTTATTATTTTCGTATTAAACTTAGAGGCAAAATATCTCCTATTTAAGTATTCTTTAATATTCCTGAAAGAGTATAAAGTTCAGCTTTAAAAATATTTTTATCAACTAAAGCAGAATTTCCAACTAAATTTAATGCTGAATATATTCTTCATTCTCGTTTCGCTAAAATCTTTTCAGAAAGAAACCAACATTATTTTACTGAAGAATATCTTTTTATTACAATTTATTCAGAAGTTGATTTTGAATTCTCTATAACATTTCAATTTGGAAATTCATAAATTACAAAATCACCTCCAAAATAAATAGTTGAAACTTTAGAATAAATTTAATCAAATTGTTCTTCTATTTAAAAGTATTTACCTAATGATAAAATTTTGTAAAATCTTTCTTTAACACAATATCATGGAAGTTAAAAATTAAATAAAATATTATCAATTCAATCAGAAAGAACACATAAGTAAAAGATGGCTAAATCTTTGAGATAATCAATTTTAGAAGATAAATAATTAGAATAGAAATCTAAATTACTTGTTAAAGATTAAATTTAATATTTTCGAGAAGTTGAGAGATTGTTAAAATATAAAAAAGTGAAAATCTAATTTGCTCAATAAAATTGGTTTCAAATTTTCAGTTTAATGCTTATTACTGAATATATTTCTAATTCTCTATAGGAATAAAAAAGAAAATAAAAAATTGCAGCCAAAGGAAAACTATTAGTTTGGGCTATGAAAACTAAAGCCTTGTTAGATGTTAAAGAATATGGAGATAGTGCAAAAGAAAGAACAATATTCAAAACTAGATGTGTAATATAAAGTTTTACTTGTATGATCAGACAAAAATCTAAAATCAAAGCAGAATTTGTAATTTCCAAATTTATGGGGCGAATTCTATTATATCTAACTATTCTTAATAGACATTAAAGCACTCTCAATAAAGGTATAATTCAATTTTAAGTATAGTTATCTTTATTTAAAGAAAATTTCGGTTTCTTAAAGCAAAGAAGAGAAATTTTAGAGATAAATTTTGGAAACTCATCAAAGAAAATATAGCAGATATTATATATGATCTTAGAAGAGAAAAAGAAACTTAATTTTTCTTTGAAAAACAATAAATTAATATTGATATGTAAATAATCATGTCTATTATTTTTAGACCTCTAATGAATTTGGTTATTGATGATTATTGTAAAAAATAAAGGATTTTATGGATGGCATATGTTCAACATACTTTTTTAGAAAGAGATTAAAAGAGAGTATTAATTTATTTAAATATCATAGAAAATCCATGAATATGCAAAAAATTTAAAGGAACCAAAAATATATGATTTGCCTAATAAAAATGAATTAATTCCAATTATAGAATAATATGCAATATTGAAAAAAATACTATGATTATAAATAATTTATTTAATTGGTATATGCATATTGAGTAACATTAATTACTCTTACTACAGAAATTAATGATGAATCTACAAGCCCTCAACAAGTATTGATACATTTATATTTAAAGAGATACACAAAAAATAAAAAATTAGAGTTTCCTATAAATCATAGTAATTGCTTCTAATATCTTGGACTTAATAGAATCAATATTAATTTCTTTTACTTAATTTAAATAAACAGAAAATCTTTGAATTTCTAGACTACAAAAAAGCATATATATTCTTATAGACCTTATTCAGATAAGATTAAATAACTTTTAAATCTTTACTCAAATAAATCAATTCTAAGAAAGGTAGCTCAAATATAAACCAAAAAATTTGTTAGAAAGTATGGTGATTTAAGTTTTTTCCTTAATTTAACTCATCATTATCAATATTAATAGATAAGACAAATAATTTTTTAAATATTATGCAAAATACAAAGAAAAAATAAAAAAGTAACCTAATAATGATATCTTAAAAAAATAGAATAATTAAAGTTAGATGATTGGTTTTGAAGGTCTAAGTTAGAATAAAATGGTTAATAAATAAAAAAAAGATTGTAAAAATATTAATTAAGTTTATTTATAAATTTTAAGTGATCTTTACAATAAGGCAAAATCAATTTTGAAAAAGTTAGTTTATTGAAACGATCTTCAATTTATTTAATCAATAAGTATATTCCTTTAGTTTATAAATATGTTTTGAAATAAAAAAGAATGTTTAGATTACATGCATTTTAAAGGAATTAAACGATACTCTATTTAATCTCTTTAATTTCCATCTTAATTTGATTATTTTGGGGCATATGCATTTTAGATAAAAAACCCTAGACTATTTTGAGATCCATCGATCTATGATTTTACAAATATTATTGAATAGTATTCTTTGATTAAAACTTAATATGAATATACTTATTTTTTTATTTTATGAAACCTTAACCAACAGTTTTTAAGGCTCAAAAGTAGAGACAATTAACTATAACACCAAGTAGCAATACATATTTTCTTAATTCATAAAGAAAAATAAAGTAGATAATAAAATTATTTTAAGCTTCTTCACAACAAGCAGTCTTTAATCATTTTCTTATATTCATACTAGCTAAGTTTTAAATTAAACTCCAAATATAAATGAATTAAAACAAATAAAAAAAGAACATAATCAAATTGAAACCATACCTCCTTCTTTCATGGAGCTTTATGATGAATTTGAGAATAATTACAAAATTGTTTAGAAAATTAAAACCGATCTGAATATTTCAATAGACTTAAAGTAGGATGATAAATAAGAATAGACTTAGGTCATATCATAAAATTTTATAAAGAATCCTTCTTAAGCAGAAACTAAAATTGCAAATTTATAGTTTTGTGATATTGATTAAGAGTTGAATTAGAGATTACATATAAATCGATTTAAATTTTATTATTTTCGAGCTTCCATATCGAAATAATAATCTCCTCTATTACTAACAATTTAATTTGAAAATCAAATAAGCTCTGCATAATATAAATTATATCTTTCTACTTAGCATGAATTTCCTACTAAATTTAATGCAGAGCATAATCTCACTTCAAATTGTTGTAAAATCTATACAAATGGTCATGATAATATATTTTAAGAAAGTTATCTTTATATAACTTATTACTCAGAAATTGATGTTATTTTAAAAATAAAAATAGTATTTGGTAGGGTTTAAGTTAGTAAATCACCTAAAAAATAAATAATAAAGAAGGAATATCCAAAATTCCCTGGTTTAATTGTAAATACTAAAATGGATTTAATAAAAAGAAACCTTGATACAAGTTAATTTTAATTGACAAGAAAAACCGATTTATTAGCTGGATTACTTGTATATATATAAATAAAATATAAAATAGAGTGAAAGAGAATAGAAAAGAAAATAAGTTCATTTAAAAAAATAAGAGATAGATTGTGAATAAAAAATTAAATTAAAAACTTAATACAGTGTATAAATGATGAGAAACGATTATAGATTATTTGAAAAAGTTTATAAATTAAAACTAAATAAAAAAATTCAGGTAGAATTGTTTTGGGCTTAACTTTGTAATTTAATTAAATTCATAGCATAGCTAAAAGTTAAATTAATAGTAAAAAATTATAATATGATTAGTAATTTAAAGGGAAGATGAGTATTAAAGCTAATGGTAGAATTAAAGCTCTAAGATGTGGCTTAAATTTATTAATTAATATTAAGAAGTTTGGACCAACACCAGAGAGAAGATCATTTTGTAAAAGTTTATTAGCAATAAAAATGTTTACTACTTAAATTCTATTTTTAAGGAAAAAGAAAGCTTAAACAATTGCAACTTCATTTATTAAAGAATGCATTTCTATTATACATTTAGGGCATAGATTACTAAAGACTAGACATTATGGTAATAATATAAATATATGTTTACTTAGTAATAATTTTGTAAAATAAATTCAGATTCTTTTAAAGATAAAAGAAAAGGTATTATGAAGAATTTTGGCAATTAGTGATAAAAAATTATAAAGAAATTATAAGGAGTTTAACTTTAACTCAAAATAATCAAAAAAATAGAAATAGATGTTAAAAATAGATATATGCATTTTAAATAGATAATCAAATAATGCAATTCTAAATTGAAAATTATTATTAAAGATAAAAATAGATATGGTTAGCATTTATACGCTAAAAGATTGTAGATAAATAACTAAATGTTTATTTATATGATAGAAAAAGTGATGATATTAGAAAAGCTTTGATAAAGTTTTAAGAGCCTAAACTGTTCTAACTTCCACAAATTAATGAAGTAGCTGAAATAATTGAGCTCTATGCAAAAAATAAAAAAATGATTTGAGAATATGATGATATATTAAATATGATAAACTCAGATTAAATAAGAAAATCAAGTTCCCAAAGAGCTACTTTAAGCACAATGTAGAATCAAAGATTTTACTGTGGTTAAAAATTAAAGAGCCCCAATAAGGATTTCTTAAAAAGCAGTCGAAGTTAAGTTTCACTCTCAGAAATGTAGGACAGTAAATCCAGAGTGAATACTTTATTTGAAAAAATTAAAACTTAAAATGCAAATATTCACAAATAGGAGAACAACCTTTTTTTTAAAGTTTAAGGAGCTATCTTAGAATTGTATAATTAATATGAGCAAAATTATTAAGGTCTTGGATCACTTGACAGAATTAAGACAGTTTAAGAAAATTTGTCAGTCGAATTCAAAAAATAAAATAATTAACTTATCAAGACTTTTGATGGCTTAAAGTTGTCAGACCTGGACTAAAATGGGGTTAATCAAATTTAAATTGATAGATACTAATTTTATTATTTCAGGTTAAGAATTTTAGAAAAACCTACACCAATTCACATTCACTTATAATTACCAGAATCATTATCATTTTTATTGTTTAAATTGATGCTCTCTGTAAAAATTGAATTTCCTACTAAATTTAATGCTGATTAAATAATCTAAAGTAATTATGCAAAAGTTTATTCAAGTAATCCTTAAGCTCATTATTTTAAAGAGGAATTTCTTTATCTAACATTTTATTCTCATGTAGATTTTATTCTAAAGATAACTGTGAATTTTGGATAATTTAATGTTGAAAAGACTCCATCTAGGCGAAATGAATCTAGATCGCCTATATTAAAGATGGTACAAAGTGATAATATAAAGTATATAAATACTCCTGATAGAAAGAGAGATATAAAAGGATTCTCTCAAATAAAATCAAATATTTATTAATCATCAGTAGAAAAAGAAACAGAATCTAGTAGAGTTTAAACTGAAAATTCAGATAAAAGAAAATTTATTAAAATGAAACCAGTTTAATCTAAATTAAGCACTTTATTAACAAATATTGGTAAAGAATTTTCTGGTTTGACAAAAGAAGAGAGAATAAAAAAGATTGAAGAGCATTAAATATAAAAAAGAAAAGAGTTAGAAAAAGATTATGAAAATAAATAAAGAACTTTCTTATATGAATTAGAAAAAAAAAAATAGTTAATAGAGCAACATTCCAAAATAAAAAAACAAAAAATTGAATTAGTTTAACAAAACAAAAAAAATAATTTTAGTGAAAAATAATAATTTATTAGAGATAAATTATTACTTTAAGAATAGATCTCATAATTTAGAGAGATAGAGCGTTCTTTTAGTATTAGAAAAGCTTATGCATATAAAATAGCATTAAGTTGGGGTAGAATAATAAAATAGATTCTTTTTATAGATACATTGTATACTGTTATAAAAGTAAATGATGATATTAAATTTGTAGGATAGTAAAAAAAAATCCAAAATTTAAGCTAGAGGTAAATTATTGGTTTGGACTATTAAAACAAAAGCATTAATTTAAGCAAAAGAATATGGCTACACAACTAAAGAAAGAACAATAACAAAGAGTTGTATAGCTTTAAAAATGGTTGCTGTCAATTTAAGAAATAAAATAAAATTATCAAGTTAAGCAATATTAACTAAATATTTGATTTAAATGAGATTGGCAGTAACAATAATCCATTAACATGATAAGACATTAAAAAAAAGTATAATAAAAGTTTATTTTTAAGTAATTTAGATCCAAAGGAATTTTAGAACTTTGAAATTAAAAAAATTAACTTATAGAGATAAATTCTTGAAGCTTATTAAAGATAATATTAATTTAACTATTGATGAGCTTTAAAGATAATATGGAAAAAAAACATTTTACGATATCAATGATAAACCTGTATAATAAATGGATATGTATAAAATCATTTTATATTTTCAAGAGTTTGTATAAATTAATTGATTGATGAATATTAAAAATAAAAAAAGCAAATATGGTATGAATACATAAACAACAAATTTTTTGAAAAAGATTTCCATAAAGTATGTTATAATGAATAATTAGAAAATGAAAGATTTTGCTATTAATTTGAAAGAACCTTAATTATATGAACTCCCTAAGAGAAAAGAATTGATTTAAATAATTGAAAAATACGGTAAGATTAAAAAATTACTCTGATTATATTTATAATTTATGATAAAAAATAGATTACTTTAAAGAAGTTCTTCAAAGTTAATTTAATCTCAAACATCTTTAATGAACCAATCAATGACGTTGTATTTAATTATTCAATAATTTATAGAATAAATACTCTTAGGAAATAATCATCAATTCTTTCTTTGGATAAGTAAACTGAAGATAATGGAACTTCAAAACTTATGAAAAAGATATCTTAGAGATAATTACAGGGAAGTGTAGATGATATTTCAAGATTGATGCCTTTAAATGATAATCTAATCAATGTTTATAATGATTTTGAAGATAATTTTAGAGTTGTTAGAGAATCAAATAAATTTAAAAATGAAGTACCTTAAACAAGTAAGTAAGAAATAATATAAATTAATAATTCTAATATTTTAAAAACTGCTGATGGTTTAAATTTGTGCGATTTAAATCCGGAAAAGTTAAATCGAATATAAATATATAGATTTAAGTTTTATTATTTTAGAGTAAGAGTGAAAAATAAACTAAACCCCTTATAAATATATTTTACATTACCCGATAAAACACAAAATTACATATATAAAGTGTTTATATCTACTAGCGTTGAATTTCCAACAAAATTTAATTGTGAGTAATCTACATCTAGTCGATCAATAAAAATAAAAACTAAATCAGGATCTAAATTTTTTTATGAAGACTATTTATATATGACTTTATATGCTGAAACAGATTTTATTATAAGTGTTCATTTAGTCTTTGGAGAATTTCATCATTCTTTTTTAAGTGCCAAATAATAGGAACCTTAAAGATACAAGAAATATTGGGATGAAGATAAAATAAGTATATCACCAAAAAAAGATAAAATTTTGTAAAACTTAGATCAATCTCGATATAAAAGTACATAAAAACTTAAAGAATTTTTGAAAGGAGCAGGTAAGATATTAAGAATAAAAATTTTAGAAATAACTGCAAAAAAGATAATTTAAGTTGTTCAAAGAGGAAAACAAATTTAAAAAGAGAAATTAGAAGAAAGAAATATAAAGATGTTAGTAAAATCATAAATTCAAGAATTTCGTAAAGTTGAAAAAAGTATATTATAATAAAAATTCGAAAAATAAAATTAATGTGATTATTGGGAATAAATAATATCAATTATGACACTGAGTAGATAACTTTACAATATTTTACATGTAAAAATGATGAAAAAATTTAGGAAAGAAAACGAAGACTAAGAATTTAAGCAAAAGCAAAGCTAATAGTTTTGAGAATAAAAACAAAATTGTTTTTAGAAGTATAATAATATGGACAGAATCCTTTTGATAGATGCAGCAATAAATCTTTACTTTTATTAAAGTTAGTTAGTTTACATTTGTAAAGTCAATCTAAATTAAGAGCATAAAAAATAGCAACAGACTTTTTGAAAAAGACACTTCTATATTAAATAGCTTAAATGGCTCATCATAATATGGTCTCTAAAGGTATGATATTATTAATGTAGTAAGAATGATTGTAAAGGCATTTAAAAATAAAAAATTTTAAAAACGTGCTTTTAAAGATAGATTTTGGAGATTAATTAAAAACTATTTTGGAAGCAATGGGCCTTAATTATTTGTTACATCTTAAATAAAATCAATTCAAATAGATAAACCAGTTATGTCTAAAGTGATAGAATAATATATACAAAATAGAAAAAAATAATGGTGTTAGTTATATAAATAAAATAAAAGCATTAATAAGAATGAGAAGACTACACAATTAATACAAATATTTTAATTACCAAATGATAAAGAATTAAAATATATAATGAAGGATTACTACATTTTAAAGAAATGCAACTGAAATAAGAATTATTTATAAATAATCTTAATTTATTTACTGAATTAAAAATAGTAAAATAAATTATTAAAGATTTCTGAATTCTGAAAAATGAATTATTTATTCAGAATTTAGAATTATCTAAAATGAATATATTTTAATGAATAATATATCAATTCTTTTCAAGGCTTTGAAAGCTGGTGAATTGAGTCTTCCAAATAGAATAATAATGGCAGCAATGACAAGAATGAGATGTAATAATGATACAAAGATTCCAAATTAAATTGTTTCAGATTATTATTCATAAAGAGCTTCAGCTGGATTGATATTAACTGAATGTACATTAGTAAGTTAAAGATCAAATGCATTTCCTGGATGTCCAGGAATTTTAAATGATGAATAAGTAGAAGGATGGAAATAAGTTATTGATGCAGTACATAAAAAGAATGGAAGAATTGCTTTGTAAATTTGGCATAGTGGAAGAGCAACTCATTCAAATTTATAGAATGGTTTAATTCCTTGGGCACCATCAGCAGTAGGTATAAACGGAGTGAATTATATTGTTAAATAACCTCATGAAATACCTCACGAAATGACAACTGAAGATATTAAATTAGTGATATAATAATTTAAAGAAGGTGCTTATAGAGCCAAAAAAGCAGGTTTTGATGCAATAGAATTACATGGAGCAAATGGATATTTAGTAGATTAATTCTTAAGAAGTCATTCAAATAGAAGAAATGATCAATATGGTGGACCAGTAGAAAATAGATCTAGATTTTGCTTAGAAATTATTGATGAATTAGTATAAGTATTTGGTAAAGGAAGAGTTGGTATCAAAGTAAGTCCAACAGGTAGATATAATGATATGTTTGATGAAGATCCTATCAAACTTTATTCATATTTATTCAAAGAATTAGATAAACGTTAAATTGCATTTATTGAAATTATGAATAGTAAAGATGCTGATAATTGCTATGGATATGGTCATCCAGCATCTGAACAATAAGTACCTAATCTATTAGAATAATTAAGACCCTTTTTTAAAGGTGTAATCTTTGGAAATGTAGGTTTGACAGCATAATTAGCTATTTAAGGAATTGAATAAGGAACATTTGATGCAGCTAGTTTTGGCACTTTATTTATTGGAAGTAATATCTTATTTTTATTATTAGATCCTGATTTAGTTGAGAGATTTAGAGATAATCTAACATTATCTGATTCTGATCCTAAAAAATATTTTGGTGGAAATCATGAAGGCTATTCTGATTATCCACCTTATTAAGGATGAGATTGATTATTATTATTATATCGTAAGTATCAAAATGATATTTATTTAAAAATCAATCCTAAAATTAATTGTATTTTAAAATCATCTAATTAATAAATTAAACTCTCAAAATTTAATTGGTAAATAAAAAATTTATACAATATTTTTAGATGTTCATGATGTTTAAACATTAATTTGTTATACATATTTTTAATTTATATATACTTAATTGATTAATATTTATATTAATAATATTTTTATATTAAACTAGAAATAGAAGATCATAATCAATTAATTATTTTTCGATATTTTCTTTTTTCAATCAGAAAATGTTTGAATATATCCAAATTCAGGTTTTTATCCTTCGGTTTTACAATACTTTATGACAGTTAATTCTCCAGGGTCTGCAAATATTTTTTGAGTAAAGATGTTTTATTTAAATTCTGTGTTAATTTTTAAGCGAATTTGAAAATCTTTATCAATCTTAACTTTCTCAACACTTGATAACATTGTTTCATTGCTTTAAGCAACTTAAGGACTTTTAAATGTTATTTTATGGTTTTAAATAGAGTCTCGATTTTTTAAATTAATTGTTTTGTAGTTTATTATTATCTAATTTGTCTTACCCTTGTGAAATGCATTTTTTTGAAACAAATACACTATATCATGACAAAATTCTAAAATGTAGGGTTTTTAAGAAACGAGGATTGGTGTGTAAAATATTACTTCTACTGGATGAGCCTTTTCTCTAGTATTAGTTACAAGGGATCCCAAATTATATTTTAATAATCTATCTCTTAGTACCATAATAAAATATTCATCTTTGATATTAATTGAAATTATTTTATTTAGGTTTATTAGTTCTATGCATTCTTTCAATGTGCTTTTAACCTCTATTATATTTTATGAATCAACAATCTATTCTTGTAATTTATTTTTTATTAAGGATGCATTTGCAATATGGATTTCTATTTCATTAGTATAATTATTTATCCTTGTAATTATAAATGTTTATAGGCGTTTGTGTAAAATGATCTTTTCTTAAAAATCAAATATTTTAAGATTCTTCTCTAACTAGTAATCTGTAAAGAATTTAAATTTTATGCTTTTGCTTTAATCTGAAGGCAAAAATGCTTTATAAGTTTTATTAGCAGGGTCAACTATTTATATTTTATACATATTATTTAAATAAGAATAGAATTGTAAACTATTTAAATCAAAACAATTCTACTATAAAAAAACAATAGATTTTAGATTTACTTTGTAAATTGATAAAACAGAGATAACTATTGATTAAAAAAGCAAAAATATACAGTTTTAAAAAAATAGATTTACAAAGCTAAATAATAAAAAATCCATATTTTAATGATAAATATATTATATAATTTGTTCTTATTATTGGTAAATTATTAAGCTAATTGTTAAGAATCATATTATAACTAATAATAGATTGGAGGCAATAAATAGGGTTTATAATCTCCATAAAATGTGTTTTTATAAGATGAATAATTCAGATATTTCACAACGATCAATTTAATCACTAGTTTTAATGGTAATGAATAATAAGGAAAATATAAAGTAGCAGTTGAAATTGATTTACCTTTTATTTTTATTACAGAATTAAACAACTCTCTACACTTTACTAAATTAATACCTACTGATGATCAAATTGAATTAATCATTTAATATATAAAACCTAAATTTAAAGAAATAGAAGACTGTTGGGGGAACATATTTTATGTATTAAATAGTAGTTTATGGATAAATGAATATATTGGCATGGATGTTAGTTTTTTTTATTATACAGGATATGGTGCAATTGATTTTAGAGAGTCAACATAATTAGATGGATATATTGGATTAGGAAAGTACCCTTAACCTGAAAAAGGAAATTTCAATTATATTATGAATCTAAGTTATTAACATCGAATTAGTCACCCATCTTATTCTTTGTATTTTGGGAATCAAGAAGGTTATATTGATTCTGTTGTAACTTTAGGAACTTATTAAAATGAATTTAAATAAAATGGAACAGAATTTTAATAGATAAAGGCCATTCCTGGATGCAATTAAACATGGTGTTTTAGAGTCAATTAAATTTCACTTTATAAAAATAACACAAAAATATATAATTCAAGGAGCAGTAAACCTTACACTTCTTTTATCAGTTCAACTTATTAATTTATTTATATGCCTAAAGAAATAGCAGATGCTATTAAATATCACATTGAAAAAACAAATGATAATATAGAATGCGATTTCATAAATTATCCAATATAAAATAGAAACAATACAATTTTAATATGTTCCACTAAATTATAAATATCCATACCTTAAAACTTTCCTGTAATAGAATTTGCTATATATTAACATTCATAACAGATTCTTTTGACATTCAATCCCTAATAGTATATCTAAAAATGTCTTGATGATGTAGAAACATATGAATTTAAATGTTTAACATATTTTACTATTTATGATAAAAAAATAGATTAATATAAACCTAATTTTGATATTGTGTTTGGATTACCTTTCCTAAGAGTTTACTACACATATTATGATTTATAGAATTCTACAATATGTATGATTTAATAATTTATTAAGAGTTTTCGTAAGCATATTAATTTGAGGACATACCTTTAATATCTAGATTTTGGTATTATAGTTTTTTGGCTTTATTAATATGTTGGGCTCTTGTAATGATGAGTTGTGGCATTTTCTTCAAAGAATAAATGGATTAGATGATTGTATTTGTTATCAACATATTAAAATATATAAGTGGAGATTAATAAGCAAGATAACAAGTGTTACGAAATTATTTAGGGGATGATTGAAATCTTAAATATTCCACTTACGTCATGTATAAATTATCAATTTATAATTAATATTTACGTCACCATAAATAATATATTAGATGAATAAAATATTTATATTCTTCTTTACTCTCTCTCTCTTTATTATAACCGCAAACACTTTGGAAGCTATTGATTAGCTTAAAATTTAAGATCCATTTTCAAATAGTATAATCAAATAGATTTTGAGAAAATCATATACAGATATTAATTGCCCACCAGAATAATCAAAAACTTATTGCTCTGGTAATTAACCATGTTGTAAAGTTGGAAGTAGATATGGATGTTGTCCTTATTCTTATGGAATATGTTGCGGAGATGGAACATGTGTTCCTAATGGAAGTAGATGTTGAAATATTTATAATCAGTTTTCCATTAATTTTGAATTAATTATCTGTATTTTAATTATAATCAATTCAGAAATTTAGTTATTTTAAGGATTTCAAATTTTCAATTATGGTTTTAGTTAATTACAATATTTTAGATAACTTTTTTATTTGTTATAAATATATATAAATTAAACTCTTTCTTTTTAATAATAGATATCTAATATAAATCAATCAATCAATTTTGGAGAAAAAAATCTAATCAAAATAACTACGAAAATTATGAACTCTCATATCTTATTCCATCTGATAATTTTAGTAGTAAGTCTTTTAAATTTATCTTTGTAATTGGCTTCTCAATTCCAAATGCAATTCCACAATCTTTAAATTAATCAAAAATTTCTTATGTTAATTTAAGACCAGAACATGCTATAATTGTAACATTCTTATCTAATTTACGAATCCTAGTTGAAGCTTCTTGACCAAGCATAAGTGGCATTTCTAAATCCATAAATATTAGTTAAAATGGAATATTATCTTTCAATCTATCATTTACTTTTTCTATTGAAATCATTCCATTCATTGCAGAATCTGAACTGATTCCACTTTTTTCTAATAAATATTATAGTGCTAAAATATTAAATTCATTATCATCAACAATAAGTATTGGGGGATGATACTATGTTATATCATTCCATTTTTATAAAAGATTCTAAATTAAATGATTTCGCATTGAAGGTTTATTAGAAAAATTTTTTTCTGATTCATTTCTTTTTCTCAAAGTTGCTTAATAATTTAGAGAGCTTGTCATATTATTAAAACCTTTAAGATTTTTTTTTTAAACTACTCTCTTACTACTTTCTCCCATTGGAATAGCAATAGAAACAGTTGGTGATTTTTATGAAATTATATTTTATAAAAATCTTAATTCTATTGAAGGTATTTTTTATGCTAATTTTTATGATATTTATGAATCTGAAATATCCTCTTAAGCTGGCTCTTCATTTTCTATTTCAAAATAAAATTTTGAACCACTTCCATATTCAGATTAAACCTAAATTCCTATTTAAGGATTTCTTGATAGTAATTTTGCTAATTCATTACTAATCATTAAACCCAATCCTATTCCAAAAGGATTAGCTTTTTAATTTTCTAAATCATTTACTCTAGAAAATTCTTAAAAAAGTTTTTCAAGATTTTCTGGTTTGATTCCCATTCCAGAATCTTAAATAGAAATAATTATTGCTTTGTCTTCATTTTAAATACATTCAATTAATATAGATCCTTTTGGTTAAGTATATTTCACAGCATTACTCAATAAATTCATAATAATCTATCTGATACGAAGTTTATCAGAATTTATTTTAAACGGTAATTTTGGATCATAATTAAATGTTATATTTAACCCTTTTTTTTCTTTTAATAAATCAAAAAGTGAAATTGTTTTATCAATCAACTTTGCTAAATTAAATTTACGACATACAATTCTTATAGATTTATTTTCAATCTATGCTGCATCCAAAATATCATTTATTAAATTTAAGAGCAGATGACATGAATTTAAAGATGGTTTTAAAAATTTTTAAATTAAATTTGGATCTATAAATTCTTATAAACACATCTGCATATTAATTATTGCATTTAAAGGATTTCTCATATCATGAGAAACTTTGTGAAGTGTTTTAATCATTGTCTAAACTTAGTCTATTTATTGTTAATTAGATTATTGTTTTTATGATTCTAATTTATTAAATTTATGCTTAATAATCAATACAAATTCTTAATTATCTATATTTAATTTTTAAATACTAAGGTAATTGTGGGAATTATTGATTGACTCATAAATTAATTTTTAGTCTAATTTAAGAATTTTCTTTTTTAATTAATCGATAATATCGCTAATCAATAATGCAGGTTTTGTTATAATGTTTTCTAAATAATTAGATTACTTAATATAATTCGTTGTTTATTCTCTAGGTGTAATCATTCTACTTTAATTTTATTCAGACATGCTCATAACTTATTCTTTTATAATTGAATAAAAAAATTTAGACTCATAAACTGGATTATATTTCATATCCAAGATACAAAATTCTTCAGATGATATATATTACAATAGATTCTTCAAAGTATTAAATGTCTGATTTACTTTCTTATCATAAATTTGAACTATTAAAAAGAAATTCACAACTGTTCTTAAAATCCCAACAGTAATTTCTGTAGTATTTCCAAAGCTAATGCATGGAATACATGCTAAAAACAAAATTAAAGATGTTAATTTTATATACTATTCGTTCAGTTGAATTATTAACACAATCTATATCCCTGTATAAATTTACCATTGGGGAGTGAGTATATAGGTCACTCCTAGAATGACAATCCCTTTAATCAAACACAAAATCATCAAAATTATGTTAGATTTCTTTTAACACATGTTTTCTAAACAATATATTATTAAATGAAAGCATGCTAAAGACAAGCCAATAGTCAAAAATCTATACTCATTTGTAATATATGTCTACATATGAATTACCAAGGCATCTATCATCAAAAAGAACTAAAAAATTCTTCTTTTGTTAATTGCTTTACAAAGAACAAGCATATTATATAATTAAAATACAAATTAAGATTTAATATTTGTTAATTGATTTTTATACCAAGATGATATCTGAATTATAATATTTATTGATTCTATTTTTTAAATATATATATTTATTTTCATCCTTCTATCAATATTGATATATAAAATAAATGATTATTACCTTTTAAATAAAAAATCGATAAACTTAAAGAATAATAATGAAAATTAGAAAATTATGGTTTAATTTTAAGTTTGAAAACCTATTTTCTTGTTAATTAATTTAAATAAATTTATTATTGGATATTCTAAATTTTTATTTTACTATGTGATTTTAATAACAGAATAATTAATTATAAAGTCTTAGTAATTAATTTTAATTATTAAACACAATTTAATTAATATTTGAACTTTAATTAAAAAATATATTGATTTTTATATGATATATATTTAATAATCAAATCTTTTTTTATTACCTTTTTGTTATAAATCTATTTAATTTTTAAAATAATCTATCTTGCTCATATTACAGATTTGGTTCAGATTTTATGGGCAAGTTCATAATTTACACAAATTTATCGAGTTTGCCAACTAAAAAGGCATTGATATATATTTTTAATTTTTTAAAAGTCCAATTAATGTCTGTAATAGTTTTGATATCGGAAAATACATTTACAACAATCAATTATACCTAAATTTAATATTATAATTACTGATTATAATTATTTTATCTTATCTTCAATTAAATGTAATTGTGCTAATCCACTCTTAAACAATAATGGAAGAGCTAAGACTATGAATTTAGTTTTTTCATTTATTTTAAAAGTACTTGATAATATTTCATTTAAATGAACACATTAAAGTTAATTGATATCATATTTATCTTAAGATATACATTTTTCAAGCATAAATAGAGTTTATTTAAAGCATGATTTAACAACTTTAAAAATTTATTTATCTTAGACTAATTTACCTGCTAAAAAGTTTTATGTTATATAAAGAAAATCTGGTTTCATATTTTCTTCAGGAAAGAATAATTATTTAAAAGTAGCATTAGGATTAGAAAAATCTACTTTAGTTCTATTTCTCATAAATCCATCTATAGAATATAATAGATCACCAAAGTAAAGTAAGGTATTTAATTTTTCTCTTAATAATCCATTTTGTCTAGCCATGTTTTTTAGATGGTTTACAATAAAAGCCACAGAAACATGATTAGATCTATGTCCAGGTATAATCAAATCAGCTTAACTCATTAATGGTGAAATAAAATTTTCAAATGATCTTTTCACAAATTTACTATACTATTAAAGTACATTTTCAACAGTTCTTCCTCTTTCTTTGACATCTCTTAAAATACGACGACATAAACGAATATCATCTAGTTTTTATATTTGTATATACCATCGCAATGTATAAATATTTTATAAGACATTAAGTCTCTAATTCTTTCATCATAAAGTGCCATTATTCCTTCAAACACTATAACTTGAGCAGGAAGAACTATTTAACATTAATCTGATCTTTTGTGATTCACAAAACAATAAATGGGAACAGAAGCTGGTCTTCCTGACAATAATGTAGAAATCACTTCAAAGGCATTATCCCAATCTAGTGAATCTGGATGGTCAAAGTTATATGAAGCAATGTCAGTTTTAGATTTGTCTACTCCTTTATAAAAAGAATCGCAAGAAAGAATAGTCATGTCTACATCTGAATCATATTGGATTTCTCTTTTTATTGTTTCACAAAGTGTAGTTTTTCCAGCTGCTGATCCTCCTGTAACACCTACAAGTATACGTTGAGGTTCGTACTCAGAGTTCTTCATTTAATATGAACACTACTTTTCTTTAAGTGATTGGCGATTTCATTTGGAAAGAATCATTAATCATGAGTTAAATTTTTAATTCAATTTAATTTTTTTTTATTTAAGAAGTCTCAAATGAAAGAATTTTTTTTATGCTCTTTCAGCCATACATTATTTTTAGATAATTTATATTTATTATCTGTAACAATATTTAAATTCTATTTTTTTTTTTTTAAAGTTGTAACATAACTCCCTTTTTATTTTTAATTTATTTTAAATAAAACAATCACTTTTTACTTTATATTAAATGTTTTTCTTGAGTCTTCATTTTCTAATAAAATACAAAAGAATTTTATCAATCCCACTTACTTTAAATTATTAAAAAGAGATATATCTTCTATAATAAACGTTATTAAGATATTTTTCTTTTAGTTATTATAAAGATTTAATTTTTTGAATCACTTTCTTATTAATATATAAGATATTCTCAATAAATTACAATTCATTTTAAAATTTACATAAATATATAAATCAACTTAAAGATAGGATATTAAATTAAGATAAAAATACAAATAATGCCAATTTAAAAATAAAACAGTTCATAAGAATTATCTAAAGTTTATAAAGTAATTTAAATTATGATTCTTTCTCAATATCTTCCCTATAAAATATTATTTTAAATCAATATAAAATGAAATTTGGAATAATTCTATCAAATTTTGAAATTTATTAAATCAATTTTGGATATTGCTCATTTTAAAATAAATTTTCCATATATCTTAATTGAATCGAACTTTGATTGAATAGATTTTACTTAAAATTATTTATTATAAACTTTTTGGTTCATTGCACGAAATCAATTGGAATTTTTCAAACACATGCTAACACTTTAGCAGAATCTAACACTGTTCCATATATTTATCTATGCCCCATAAATTAAAAAGAGACTCTACTTTCTTTGAATTATTGTACAAAAATTCAGAAAATTTTTGAACTTTAAGTAGTATTTTCTCATTTTTTTGTCAATAAAGCCAAACTTTTTTTAATGATTCTTCTAGAAAATATAAAATAATCCTTAATTTAAGTGTTCCTAATTACTTTTTCTATTGTGGACGGAGAACTTTTTGAAAAAAAAATAGTTTATATCATCCTATTATTCATTTATTATATCTAAATTATCTTATATTAATGTGTCATTTAACTATATCCAATAACATTTAAATTTGGGTTAACTTAAAAAATAATATTAGATTATTTTAAATTATCATACTCTTATATAATTTTAATAAAAATATATTATTTTCAATTATTTAAAGAAAAACTAATATTCATAATTGTATAAAAAAAACTGAATTAATTTATGCAAAATAGATTTTTTTATTTACCTTGTTTAGTTATAAAGAGGACCTTATTTAGACATTTTTTGAACGGAAAACTTTCGAATAAGTTTTTCAGGTTTATTGACTTTTGAATAATGATTTATAATAAGAAAAAAGTATTAATTTAGTATAAAAATTTTAATTAAATGTTAATAATTTAAATAATGCTGTATTTTAAAGATTGAATATTTAGGATTCTTAAAATTAATAAGTTGAAAATTAAGTATTATATTGGAAAAGTTGCTTTAAAATAATTAAATAAAAAATTTTAATATTTCTCTTAAAATATTGATAATTTAATTATAAACATTAATGAGCTTCGGGTATGAAAATTTGATTTATCGAGTAGAGTGTACTCATAATTTCAAACATTTGGTTAATCTTAAGAATTAGAAAACATTTTAAAAAATAATAACCCAACTTTAGAAGAATTGTTGGAAAGAGACAATTTCTTATTTGACATTAAAGCTGGAGCTATGAATGCTTTTACTGAGTTGTAATAAAATGTATTAATATAAGCGTATGGAAATAACCTGAGAATTTAGAAAAGATGATTCACTATATTATCGTTACAAATGAATAGATGGATGATAATGAGAAAAGTCGAAAATTTCCTTATATTATAAGTGAAATATTTGCATTAGAAAACACAAGATTATTTGATTTATTATTCTTGAGACATAGAAATGAATCTTAATCCTCATTATTAAGCAATGAAAGATTGGTTTTCATAAAAATCTAAAATAGACTACCATAGAAGATGATATTTTGCCTGAGTATCAAATGCATCATGAAGATCAATGTAAAGAAGAAGATGATTTTAATAATAATGGAGGTGGCATATCTGGAACATCAAGTTAGTATATGAAAATATCATAGTCTAGTGTGCATCTTTTAAATCTAAATCAGGAATGCACTTAAATGAAAATGTAAGGTTAAATATATTAAATGCATTTTTTAAATACTTAGAGACTCCCAATATTAATGACACATCAATGGGATATTATGCTAAAATTTTGAAACCTGTAGCTGGTAAATATGGAGGCGAAGTATTATAACTCTTATAATTTTAGTTTTGGGATCATATTGTGGTTAATAATAACATCATAAGTGATTTACTTCAGCATATTAATCATTATTAAATTGTAGAAATTGTGGTTAAACTATTAATTTTAGATTATAAAATTAATGATAATATATACATCAACCAAAAATGTTATGTATTCATTAAACATAAGCATAGAAGAATTATAGAAAATAGCTTTTAGAAGAAATGATACACTAAATGGATAAGTTTTGCGATAATATTACAGTATTTTTATATCTTTACTAATTAGATGGTTGCAGATATTTCTTAAATATTTGATTTACTTTTAGAATAAGGTATTTAATAAAAATTGTATGAATCTCTAAGAGAATTGTTTGACAATGTCTTAAAGCCATATTATTTTTTTAAAATTGCTGTAATAATTATTATTATTAATAAATTTAGAAAAAAACAGGAGTGCTTACTGTTTATAAAGTATTCTCTAAAATCTTATTATTTATATAAGTTAATTCTTTATAAGGTATTTAAATTATCATGTATTTAGATTAGAAGACTTCTGATTTAATATAGATTATTTAATAAATCAATCCACTCATAATTTAAAATTTGGAAGATTAAAAAACCTTCGGACTCAAAAACTTATATCTTATTTAAGCTCTCGAAGTTTGCGATAAGTAATAAATATTAAAATAGATAAATAGATTAAATAATCCACTTTTATTTGAGTCTATGTTTTAGGCTCAATTGTATTAAAGTTTAATTGAATATGCAATATAGTATGAATGGAATAATTAGCTTTAAATTTATGTGACTTCAATAATAAAGTCTAGAATTTAAGATGAAAAATATTGCCAGAGAATTCTAAAGGAAAGTGACATCTTGAATTAAATCAAAAAAAACTTGATTGAATAACCAATGAATTCAAGTTTTAGATCAAACTGTAGTCATGGATATAATGGATTTTTAAAAACAGTGGGTTACAAAATATTATAAAAATAAGGAGCAAGTAAAAAAATAAATTAGCAAATATAAGAGCGTAATAATATATATGATAATTAGAACATGGATAGGTTATAGAAGCATTATAAAGATTGTAGTAGCTTGAAAAAACTTATTTGTGTGAAGTAGATCCAAAAACACATATGTAAGAAGCACCACCAGAAATCAGTATTGATAGATAAATAGAAATGCTTATAGATTCCTAAAAAGAAAAAGAGGATCAGATTATAAAATCAGAGCAATAATGAATCTATGATAAAAAAAAATTAATTCATAAAACTCTAACTAACAATCAAAATAATCATAATAAATTGGATGAAATTTTAAATGAGATGAAAATAGTGTCGATATCTTAATTGTTTTATTTAATTAGAATAATTAAAATAAATTCAATTTTTTAGGAAGAAAATATATGTAATAAATGGATTTCTAAAAATACTTAAAAGGCAATCCAATTTTAAATATAAATAAATTAATTCAGATATGTTTTTAAGGAATAGATTTCATTCTCTTCGTAAATTGGCTTAATTTTGCACAGCTGAGAGCGTCTCAGGAAAGAAATCCCCAGCAGCTTAAACTTCATAAACAAAAGTGGAAAGAAATTACTAATTACAATTCTCAAAGTCAGCATTAGTTGATTTTGGAGAATTACCAACAGGTGAAATTCCTGAAGCCTTAAAATATGATAGACCATAAGGTATGAATATAATAATAATAAATTAAGCTTTAACTTAATTGGAGAGTGGTCTTAGAGTAGTGTCTGAATAATACAATTCTCCATTAGCTTCAATAACAGTAGCAGTAAAGGCAGGCTCAAGATTTGAAACTTTAGAAAGTTCAGGTGTTTCAAATTTCATTTCAAAATTAAATTTGAGAGTAGGAATAATTAATTATGTTAGGGTACAACAACAAGATCAAGAGAATAAGTTGAAGCAGAAATTGATTACTTGGGAGGATCTTTAAAAGTTAAATAAGGTAGAGAATTATAGACTTATACACTAACATTTTTACCATCAGAATTAGAGAGAGCAGTAAATTTTTTAGGAGATATATTGACAAATTCATTATATTCCCCAGCATAAATTGAAGCGGAAAGAGAAGGAATATATAGAGAATCAGTTAGCATAAATGATTAATACAGAGTAGTAGCAGAATCTGCTCATTATACTAATTATAGAGATCATTATATGGGTTAACCAGCAGCAGGAATCAGAGATAATATTCCAAATGTTACAGAAGAATAAATAAGATAATTCCATAAGGCTAATTTTGTTGCACCAAATGTTGTAGTATCAGCTGCTGGTAATGTAAATCATGAAGATTTTGTATCTGCTGTTGATAAAGCATTTAAAGGATTAGGTACATCTGTACCAACTGAAGTACCTAATTCAGAAAAACCATATGCTACACCATCAATCATGGTAT